CAGTATAAACTAGATCTCCACTTTTTGTCACTGCTATGTCACATGGTATGTTCCCTGACTTGTTTGTGATTGACTTGTGTAGTGATCCCTGATTGATGCTGTAGAGTTGCATGGTGCTGTCACTTCCTCTTGTCCAGATTTCTTCATCACTCAGACAGGCCACATTGATAAGGTATTCTTTATATCCAGTGTTTACAGTCTTTAAAGTCTCTGGTTCATCAAGCAGCTGTTTGACTGGAGGAGAGGTTCCAGCTTCTGTTGATTTCTGTGTTGTCTTCATGCTGTAGCCATGTTTATCTGAGGTTATAGAACTTGATGATAGTGTTCCAAACAATTTACTGAGTGATTCTCCTTGAATTTTTTTTGGAATGAATTTAAATAAAGTTGGTACTGGTTTTTGTGGAAGGCTTCTGTATATATTTACATTTGAAGTGACTTTAAATAGTTTTGACAAATCGTTAGTGTCTATTGCCATTTCAACTGAATCATTTTCATCTTTGATGTCAGACATTGTCTTGTTTATTACATCCAGATGTTTCTGTAGAGTTTGTAACTGTGTGTTTTTCATCTCATCAACTTCAGCTTTAAGTTTCTTGACAAGTTTGTCAATTTCTCTGTGCCAGTCCTCTCCATGTTTTGTTATGGCTGTTGAGAGATCTCCATATTCCTTTTCTAATTGACTCATTCTGTTTTGTACATCAGAGGCAATGTCCTGGTAGGTTGGATAAATTGTTTCATTCAATTCAGAGAGTTCTTTAATGATTTTGTCCTTTTTTTCTTTCACAACCTTTGGAATTTCTGATAACTTGTGACCCAGGTGTTGATCAGATGCTAGACACTTTGTACAAACAGGAATGTCACATTGATTACAGTACATTGTGCATCGTTCTTTTTTATGAGATGTGCATCCAGGGTAGAGGGGGGTGGATTTCCTGGCCTGAAATTTGACGACTTTGTGGTCCTTGGATTCATCAGATATCATATGTTTTCCTACACAAGCTGTACATAGGTTGACAAGACACGTATCACAGTGCATCTGTACCACAGCGGTCTCACACAGGTCACATCGCATCACGTCCTGGGCACTGGTACGGGGGTCCATGTTTTAACTTTTGACTCTGAATTATAAATTAATTAGGCTTTAGAATAAACTTCAGTAGGAAAAAATTTACATATTTTAATTTAATTTTTAGGGTTTTTTGTTTGGCAAATTGTCTGTTCGATTACAGAGTTTTAATGTTACAGTAAAACTCGGTTATAACAAAGTCAGGGGGACGTGTGAATTTACTTCGCTATATCTGTAATTCGTTAAATCTGTATAAGGAATATGTTAAATTGATATAGCTAGAGATCGAAAATAACTTGGCTATAACGGTAAATTCGCTATATCCATGTTCACACTAAACGAGTTTTGCTGTTTTTTATTCTTATTTGAAATTTTTGACCAACAGTAAAATACAAAAGTCCAAGGGTTGATGCTTTATGGTTGGGTTTTGGTCTCATAAATGTGTTTTAAATACATTGCATCTTTGGAATTTTCTTGTCTCGAGGACTATTATTAAGCAAAGTGTTTGTATAATAATTATTAATATTTAGCCCTGTATTAAATTATAAAAAATATGAGTATATAATTGGAACTGAGCTGGCCACAAGAAGAAACTACATTAAACTCGGAGCAGGATGACTCATTCTTTATTCATTGACCTTTAAAATCCTTGGTAGATTTTTTTTCATTTTATGAAAAAAGGTAGCTAAATATCAATTGCTATCCTCATGTATTTATTGTTAACTATATACTAATAGGTAAATTTTTGACCAAAATATCAAAAAGTTAATTAAATAATGATTATATAAACATTACCTGACTCTTGCAACAGTAATGGCTGTCGATAAAGTTGGTGTTGTTATGTCACATGACCTAGTTACCATGTATCTACCTGTCAGGAATTTATACTTCCTGGTCTATATATAGCAGGGATTTAAATTTCAGCACATTGTTTTGCCTTGTTTACTATGACAAGCTTTACTCCTTTCAATATTAAATTAATGAAATTCTCTCAGCACATCAGAAATTTAAGGAAAACTGATCACTGATATATCCCCCCTTTAATCCAACAGCACAAAAAGTGTTCATCAAACAACAATGGATGAAAGTTGGATGCCACTAAATGATCTCAAAACTTGATAGTTTCATCATAACTTAATTATTTAGAGTACTAATTTGAATTAAATTACCTGGGTCACTCAAATCAAACAATCTTAAACATGTTCAATATTTTATGTGTATTATACAGGCTGTAAGATTGATTGTGAGAATAATCAATGTTAATATGGAAACTAGAGCAAAGCTCGTTGCAAAGCAACGAGAAGGTCTTCCGTCCTGTTTGACCTGATTTCTTTGATTTAAAAAAAAAGAAGAGAGAAATAACGCTCAAAAATTCTTTGAATCCTGTAAAGCTATGTTAATTAATGCGAAAATAAGCCATTTTTTGCTACTTCCGGTTTGACCGGAAGTGACAACAACGCACGGAAAATTAATCTTTAAGCTCCCAGAGACATATGTTATCTAAAAACTTGTCAAAAACGGCAAAAATACGCGTTTTTCGACTACTTCCGGTTTGGCCGGAAGTGACGACGCTGGACGTATTTTGACGACTCCATTAGATTAAGCTTGACATTTTCAACAACTTTGCTTCTTTGATGTATAACAAATTCTCAATACTTTTTGAGATATTTGGAAAAAACTTTTGGCCCCTCTAGACCCCTTAGTTTAGGAGTCAGCCCTTTTTTCGACATATCATTTTAAAGATCTTCTAATTCTGCACAAATTATGTTCTATATATTTTAACAAAATATTTTCAGTTGAGAAGATAAAAAGCAAAATATGAGTAATTTTTGGCTCTTTTAAGCGTTCTAATTTTTGACCCCTATATAGCGCCATTTTGAATAGAGAAATCGAAAAACAAAAACCGATGTGCACAACTTCAATCCTTCTATTATCTAAAATCAGTAGAATTTCTGCTCCAGCTTTAGCCGTCTCTGAGCCTTTGTCTGGAAACGAAAGCCTATAAATTTTCGTTTAAAGGGCAATAACTCAAAACCGGAAGTGACTTTTTGAAATTTTAGTCAACATTCTGATAGAGTTAATGAACGTCTATAACCTCTAAAAATTTGAGCGAAATCTGTTGAGAAATGAGTGAGATATGAGGCCTCAAAGTTGCGGTCTAGGAAGCAGAAGAAAAAAAAAGAATAATAATCTTTACCAACAGAATCAGTAGAAGGTCTTCCGTTGGAAACGGAAGACCTTAATAATGAACAGTATTCAATTTCAAAGTCCATATGAACAACACAAATAGGGGTTAACACAGACCTCCAAAAACCTCAGAGGTGGGATCAGGTGCCATGGAGAAGTGAGCATCCCCTGCTGACTGGTCACATCCGCAGTGTGCTCCTAGTCATAAAAATTCAACATGTTCCATGTGAAAATGTGACCTAGGGCTTGCAATATTTGATATGTCAGGAAAAAAGTTTGTCTAATACATGTACTTGCTATCCCGATTACTTAACTTAGCGGAACTCTTTTGCGATGGAGGACGGAAATGTCTGTTGGCTGGGGACAAATTACTCCAGCATGCTAGAGGTTCACGGCGAGATACTTTTGACTTGGCGCCGCGTAACCTCTAGCATCCATTGTAAAAATTCTCGCCGCTGAAACCCCAAGTGGAAATAAATTATTTTATTAAGAAATAAGGCTTTGTATATTAACGAATGGTACGAAATAATAAAATACTCAATATTTACGATAAAACTTATGCATAAAACCCTTCTAACCTCTTGTATTAGCAATCAATCTATTATTTTTTAAATCGAAGCAGAAATTGAAACAAGTCGTCTGTTTAAAATTCGGAAACGGAATTCAGAAAATCTGACGAAACGAAACTGGTGTAATGCAACGAAAATTTCGTTTTCTGACAAGCAATCCGCAAAGTTAATGTGAAGTCAAATCGAAAGTACTTCTGGTGACAAATTGGAATAATGACAATTTTCATTAATTAACAATAACGCACACTGAATAAAATGGATTTTATTATTTTTTGTGACTTTCATACCCCATGCAAATACGTAGGTACCTGAAAATTACTTGTTAACAGTTTATTTCACGCATAATACGTTCCGCCCAAAATCTGAGGCGGAACATGCTCGTTAGAAAATGGCCTTCGGATGTAAGAGTCCGAGGTATATAAGGAGCGTAGGGACGTTAACCGAGGCTCTTACTTGTAGGAGTAGGGACAAATGTGCTATGGAATACAATGCAAGATCGCTCATTGTAGAATTTATAAGGACAGATAAGTAAAAACATCCTGGTGGAATACCTTGCTAGCCAATCGCTGAACCAGCCTAATTAATTTTTGAGAGGAGATTATCCTAAAATGTTACATTTTTTACGATATTTTTAACTAAGCGGGCTCTTCTCATTAAATTTTCATTGAAAATCGTCACATTTTAAAGCTGATAAAAATAATATAAACTTTCCTTATTTGAAAATCTACTATTTTGAGTTAAATTCTTGGCAATACATTGTATTTTCAGCATAAAATTGTTCAAATCATTCGATTTTCACTACTGTAAACAATGCCATGTGCCCCGGTAATCTCGCAATTTTTGAGCTTTCTCGACTCTTCCGCAAGAGTGATAGTAAGTTAGATAACTGCGAGGTACTCGCAATATTACATATTGATATGAAACACATATATATCAATAAATGCTTATGTAAATTTATATATGAAACAGATATGGTGGAATTTGTGTAACCTAATCTTTATAAAGTTAAAGTTTAAGTCATGTTTTGTTTATTTCAGCCTTCTTGGATACAGATATAAATGGAATTCCCAGTGAATTAGAGAGCTTGATGATATTGGAATATAAAGACACATGCTCAGTATGACTTGTTCTATATAGCAACAGAATCCTATTTATTATATGTTGTTTTAAAAAAAGCTATGTTGATAAATACATTTTGTAGGAATGTACTTAAACCTTTTGTGATCTACTAAATTGCAGATTTACACACTTTGATTTTGTGATATGATTACAAGAAAAAAACTGTCACAGTGTATTTCTGAACTTGTCTTTGTTTAATTTGTGCAGTACAACTTTTTAAAACAAATAAAATTATATACAAATTTCTGGAAAAGAAATGCATCTATAAATCAGAAAAATTAAAGTTCTCTTTTGTTTCTTATGTTTGTACACGATGATTATGAGTACAGCCTTCAGAAGTATAAACTTTTGTTAGCTGATCCTACGACCACTACTGCATACATCTATAACAGGGACCAGATTCTGTTTGTACCAGGTAAAGTTATCACTCCACAAGACAGACATGTGGACTTCATTATTCAGTGCATTGATTGACGTATACAATGTCAGGTGTATGTCAAGTTTTGTTTCAACCATGATATCTTAATTCCTTGTAAATATATCTTGAATTTTTACTGACAGGTCGCAGTGTTTCAAGTTAAACTTCAATCATGCTTAATTAAAAAAATATATATTTTACCAAAAGTCATATATTTTTCTTAGCTGTTACATCCTTATAACAAATCCCATCTCTTAACAAATAGACATGTTACGATTGGAGAGACTATATTTTATATTTCAAGTCCTTCCAATGAGGTAGTAAATCTACAGCAGCCTGGGGGGCACATCCTGGGGGCAGGTAAATCTGAGTTATCAGTTCATCTGAGACAATAAAAAGAAATGTAAAGTTATATACAGAGATACATGTAGATGTAGTGGTACTGTATACTAGAAAAATTTATGAACTAAAATATATTATTTAATATTTTTTTCGTAGGATCTTGTGATGGGGTTGGAGTTTTCTTCTCTGGCAGTGTGGGACTTTTTTCCATCAGTGCTCCACAGAAACAGGAAATCAGGTCAGGGGTTAAGTTGAAAGTATTTAGTACAGGTGCACCTATAAGTCACTGAGGGTTTCATTCAATGCATTTACATATGTCACATGGACTTGTAATTTGCCATGAACTAATCTAGTCCCCTCATAAATAGATTTTATCTTGGGAAAGATGGATTATAAGAGGATGATATTAGAATGAAAATACAGTGGACCTTCAGATATCCGGACGCCAGATATCCGGATGCTTCAGTATCTGGACGATTTTTCATGGGAACGAAATTTTTAAATGTTATTCTGTCTTGTTTAACTGGTGATTCAGATATCCGGATGCTTCACATATCCGGACAAATTGACTGGGAACCAAAGCGTCCGGATAAATGAGGGTCCACTGTATATTCCATTTGAAAAGTCTGGTTTTTAAAAAAGATCTTTTAAATAGCTATAAATCGAAGGGGGGGTGTTAAAATTAATTTTAAGACCCTCATGAATTACTGAAAATAAACGTCCAAACCTTGTTCTTTATATTAATAAGAAAATTTCTCTGCATTATTTAGTATTATGGAGGAGCCTTCACAAGATCTCACCACAATGGACATGGTAATTATTTTCACTTTTATAAACAACAAAACAATTAATTTCCTGAGTTCTTTATCATATCGGAAATAATAATCCCAATGCATATCTTTTATTCCACATAAATTGCAATTTTTACTTAAAATTTTTACAAAAATTTCAACTTTAATTATATATAATGTGGAGTGTTTTGCTGCTGCCCAGCTAATTAACATTGCGTCTTTGTAGTCAGTATTGACGGCCAGCCACGCTAAAATGCAGGAATTGTCCATGAGTGAAGACAGAACGGCCCGACTCAAGTCTGCGTTTATTGCGACCATGAGGGGCAACATTGTAAGTGGATCAATTGTAATACAATTAACATTAAATATTTGTTTTATGTCAATAAGCAAAGATGACCTTAAGTATCAGCAAAGCATATTATCTGATATCATCAAATTTATACATTGACCTTTACTTGTACACTGTGCTGGTTTATATTGTAATAGTTTTGATTGGTGCATTAAAAGGTATAATGATCAGTGTACCAAGCCTCTAGCATCTCTTCAGGGTAAACCCTTGATGCTTTAGATTTTGATTCACCAGACTTTGTTATATCATTCTCAAGCTTCAGTCTGTACATGTATTATATCTATAGGCTGCAGCCCAGACAACCATTGATGAGTTATTTCCCCCTGATGAAGTGTCCACGGATTTAGATCAGATAGTTGTCTCCCTTGACAGAGATCTCGTGAATGATTTTCCCGCCTCTGATCCACGATGGGCGGAGTCAAGACAAGGTGAGAGGTCAAAGGGCAAAAGATCATGAGGCTGGTATGGGATCTTTGCTTTTTATATTCATGAGAGATTAACAACCATATATTGTGACTAGTACAAAAATTATTGAGGCATTGCGGTCTGTATGAGAAACTTGATAATCATTTATTGTTTGTAGATGCCACCAGTAGCACCACTTCACTAATCATCATCAATCAGCTGACAGATAAACTCCGAGCTCACGAGTACGTCATCAACTTCCTCAAAAGGATGAGTCTCTGGGAACAGGTGAGTGTCAGGGTATACAAGGTCAGATTGGAGAGTTATCTTGACCATAGGTCCGTAAAGTTAAAGTAGTTTAAGTATTTCAGGAAAACTTTTTTTGCCTGGAGGTAGTTGACTTTCTTTGTATTTTATGCCATTTTCAACAAAAGATGATGTTATAACAACTGGGTATTGGGCTTCCCTATCTTTTTTTTCTAAAGAATAAATTCTTATGAATTGCAGTTGAATCTTGTAACCATACGGGACACACGGATGTTGACAAGACATGTGATGTGTGAGCACGCAGAAAAAGTACAGGCCGCCATTGCATTACGCCAATTACATGGGGAGTAAGTATCTATAAATAGACATGTAGTAAGTATGAGTATCATTCTTTATAGACATGTGATGTGTGAACATGCAGAAAAAGTAAACTCCGCTATTGCAAAACAGCAATTACATGGGGAGTAAGTATCTATAAAATGATAGACAAAATAAAAGACACATAATTTGTGAACCATGAGGGAGTATCATGTATCTATAAAAAGACATGTGACTTTTTAATGCCACAAATTGAAACCTTCTTTAATATTATAACAATATAAAAGAAGTTACTTAGAAAAAATGATTGTTTGCTTTTATATATGAATTAACTGAGTGACTACAAATACCTCTATAGGTTTACTGGTATAGTAGATGCAGTCATAAAGAAAGTGTTGGAGATGAGACGAGACGTCAACATTTCCCTAAACCTGACCCCACAGGACTTATTTTACAGAGAGGTATGAACTAAATCTGACCCAACAAGACTTATTTTATAGAGAGGTATGTACATGTAGTAAATCTGACACCACAAGAGTTGTTTTACGGAGAGGTATGTAGTAAATCTGACACCACAAGAGTTGTTTTACGGAGAGGTATGTAGTAAATCTGACACCACAAGAGTTGTTTTACGGAGAGGTATGTCAAAAAGTAAATCTGACACCACAAGAGTTGTTTTACGGAGAGGTATGTAGTAAATCTGACACCACAAGAGTTGTTTTACGGAGAGGTATGTAGTAAATCTGACACCACAAGAGTTGTTTTACGGAGAGGTATGTAGTAAATCTGACACCACAAGAGTTGTTTTACAGAGAGGTATGTACTAAACCTCACCCCACTAGACTTATTTTATAGAGAAGTGGGCTTGTTTCGTTATTTTCTATTTGTGTGTTATCTGTTAACCATTTAAATATTTTCTATTTGTGTGTTACCTGTTACAGGTGTCAAGGATACAGGAAGTAGTCGAGTGTTTGTTGGCGTATCAGGAGGAAGTTCTAATGGCTGACGTCACAGTAACAGAGATTCTCACTGTCATTACGTCAGTCAACACAATATTACAGGTAAATATTGATAGAATCTAGTTTGCCCCATATTATTTTTGCAGTATCCATGTACAATGTATATTTCTGTACATGTTTTATTGAATTTTCATAACACCTGAAAACATGGATTTTTTGTCTATCAACGCACCATGTTTTTAAGTTACCCTACTATTAGACCCCATCACATCTTTTTGAGAAGATTAAAGTGACTTTAATTCAAAATATAGGGACTGTCTATGCTGTTTATCTGTTGTGTTTAATTTACAGGAAATGTTACATAAAGCTTTACAGTATCGTCAGACCAAATCCACAATGTATGAATGTGAGGCCCCTCAAGGGGACATCCCAGAATACATACCATGGACGTCAACAGGAGGGGATCATGGAATCAGGACATTCCTTGTTAAACAGGTTTAATACGGTTTACTAAATTAATTTCATACAAAAAAGTCACACAACTTTTAAATGCTCTATTGAGGGATCCTAAAAAAGAAATTGATAGAAAAGAAATTGATATTCACATACTGAGTGAGAAATTGTCTACTATATTTATTTTAGTTCAGTAAGACGATAGAGGTAGTGATTTATTGTTTATCATTTGTCTCTGGGTTATCTTAGTTCAGTAATATGGTAGAAGCCTGATTCATTTGGTTCTTTTTATTTATTTTAGTTCGTTAAGACTAAGAGGTGGTGATTAAGTGTTTATTATATGACTCTGTGTTATTTTTAGTTCAGTAAGACAATAGAGGTGGTAATTCCTGAACTCCGAGATCGCGAGGGTCAAGAGAGGATTTACCAACAGCTTGCCGCCATCGCTGATATTGTCCTGGACGGTTACGTCAGTCAGGTAGAGTCACTAGAAAATAATGTCAGTAGACGACAGCACTTCAACGAGCTACAGCGACGGTACGAACAGGACAGACAACACCTGATTATGCCGCTCAGTAAGTTCTTATTGTTATATGGAGTGAAGAGTAGAGTATGTCTGTAAAATAGAGAATGATCAGAAATATAAAACTTACTGAAATAAAGAGGGAAATTATTTATCAAATCCATCCGAAAATTTTATTTCATCCTTATCTATTAAATAATTTAAAAGTAGATTTTTTAATGTATAAATACAATGCTATTTACATATTAATTTGTCTATTATTTATAAACTAACTGATGAGTCAAGAGAAATGTATATCAACTTGTATTTCATAAAGTATTACTGTTTCTATAAAAGTTTAACTAATTGTCCCTTGATCACTGCATGGTTTATTCTCATAATAATTACTCGATTAACCATTCTCTGTTGACAGTGGAGGGGAAGCAGTACGAGTTAGTGGCATCCCTAGCCGAGAAATATTGTGACTTTGAAATCCTGATTCAGCTGTGTGAGTTGTCACACAACACAGATAGGATAGAGAAATATCTACATCAGTTCTCTGACAAGGTATGTCTACAAATAGACAGGACAGAGAAATATCTACATAAGTTCTTTCGCAAGGTACACCTTTTCTATCTGCACGGACAAATGTTTCATGCAATTGATAAAAAAAATATATAATTTATTTTCATAAAGTTTGAGAGTAAACAGTTTTAGGTATAATGAAGAATGGTAACAATTATTGAAAATAATTAATTAAAATATTTATCTTTTCAAATCTTTGCAAATTTCCTATATACATGGTACATGAAAGAAGGTAGGTAGCATAACTCTTATGAACAAATATAAAACCTGAACAGGTAGGAAGCTATTTATACATATTTGATATTTATAAAATTTCACATGTATGTGATTTGTTAATGTTTGTATGTACAGGTAAGAGAGGAAAACTCCTGGCTTTACCAGTCAGTCAGCAGAGAGAACTGGGTAGATTTCTACAAAAGGAGGACATTAAATCTCTTAGCTGGCTCCATAATATACAGACCAACAACTTCTCTAAGGTAAATCATACCTCTACATTAAATCTCTTAGCTGGCTCCACAATATACAGACCAACAACTTCTCTAAGGTAAATCATACCTCTACATTAAATCTCTTAGCTGGCTCCATAATATACAGACCAACAACTTCTCTAAGGTAAATCATATCTGGGCATCCAATTACCTTTGCATTCAAAGAAACCCATTTGAATCCATTAAATTAATTCTGGAATTTGACCTGCTTAAAAACATAAACAACTGTAACCTTTGCCAAATCTTTAGATAGGTTGGTTTTTCAGCAGATTTTACGGAGTTTCCAATATTTGTTTTTACCTCTAGTCATATGACCTAGGGGTTAAATCTTCGCAATGTTTTGCCCAAACAGTGCAGCAGTATGTCATTGTGTGTTTATGGAAAGTTTGATCTAGCATTTTCTTTTATTTTCAGGCCCACACCACTCTTTTAGAGTTGGGCAAAATGGAGCGGGGCTCTCTGGCAAAGAAAAAGGTAAGGTTTTGTTGATAATAAATCATTTAATTGATATCTTATTACTCATTAAAACCTGTTCTTTTTTGAAAAAAGGAAATGTTTTCCCCACCTCTTCAATAAACAACAATGTGCTTATAATAAACAATGATAATAAATAATGAGAGGAAGATAGACTTGTCATTTGTAGATGCTTATAATAAACAATGATAATAAATAATGAAAGGATGATAGACTTGTCATTTGTAGATGCTTATAATAAACAATGATAATAAATAATGAAAGGATGATAGACTTGTCATTTGTAGATGCTTATAATAAACAATGATAATAAATAATGAGAGGAAGATAGACTTGTCATTTGTAGATGCTTATAATAAACAATGATAATAAATAATTAAAGGATGATAGACTTGTCATTTGTAGATGCTTATAATAAACAATGATAATAAATAATGAAAGGATGATAGAACTGTCATTTGTAGATGCTATCATGCTTTATAAACTTGTAGACAATGTAAACTAAAGTTTAATTTTCTTTGGACAGGTAAGTGTATAATTATGTAAATGTATTGTTTAGAAGATTGCTTAAGACAAATATTGTTTGATCTTTTTATTTTTTATGTACATGTATATACATTATCAAATTTATCAGTAAAACACTTCAGTTATATATTGACTGTGTAGGTTTTGTGGTTAATAAAACATTTAATAGTTGGTACATGTATCATATTAAGTCAGGAATACTTCTCTTCTAATCCTCCACCTTTTTTTCTTAAATAAACAAGAGTGTTTATTATTAAACTGAAAGAAAGATGAACTTGTCATTTAGATGCTATCATGCTTTTTAAACCTGTAATCTAAAGTTTTATTTTTTCTTTTGGACAGGTAAGTGTATAATTATATATAAATGTATTGTGTAGAAGATTGCTTATGATGAATATTGTTTGATCTTTTTATTTACATTTACATGTATATACATTATCAAATTTGTCAGTAGAACACCTCAGTTATATATCTATGTTCCTGGCTGATTGAGTAGCCTTACATTTTGTTTTGTAGACACTGTTAAGTCTGAGTAAATTGGCCGGACTAGCAGCTGACCAAGATAACGGAGAAATAGATAGCAACATACTAGGTTCGTATTTTAAATTATTGATATGTGTATTAGACATTATTCTTACCACATGGGTTCAGTAAACAATTCATAAAACGAACCTTTAAGAACCTTTGATGAAGTCATATGCTCTAATTTCTATTATAATATTCTGTTATAATATCAGGAAGAGGTTGCTATTTTTTACCCCCAAAAAATAATAACATTGTTAATAAAATGTACAGTAATTTACTTATTAAAAAGTTGCATTTTAGCCAATTTACAAATTAATATAGCAACCAAAAAACTAGCTTGGTTGAAATTATTTTTGAATGGTCCTTAGATACTAAAGTTTTCTGACACAGAAAAAACTTTTTTCTTCTTTTGCTTTCTTTGCCTGTAGTATAAAATGAAGTAATTACCGTACATTATTGTACAGGATTTATGTTTAAATGTATTTTACTTTTTGTTTATTTCAGACATCAATGAAGAACAAGAATTAATTGCCCATCAGCAGCAGTTACCTGCCCTTGTCATAGAGGTTAACTTATATAAAGATTGCTAATTTCCATTATGTTTTTTTTGTTTACCTATTTATGTTCACCTTATATATTCAATTAATTCACAACTCGAATTTAACAAAAATTGGAATAATGAAATAATGAATTTTAACAAAAATCACTTTTCTTGTAGAACCTTGGCATGGAGCCAAGCAATATGAGAGTTCTCTCCCCTGTACAGCTGATAGAGGTATGTATCAGTGGGGACTTCCACCTTAAGTTCTGTCTCTATTGATTGTAGACCATAAAGAAAAATTGTACAACATATTTAGTATTCTCTTGCCTTTAAATGCTTATATTGTAAATTTTATTGAATTATTTAAGTTCTTTTCCAGTTATACATCTCAGGAACAAACATTGATGCCACAGAATATGATTTCAAGAAAGCGCTGGATCTCTTACAATACACAGACAAGGTAAATGTATAAAAATGTGAGTATAATGAAAAAAAATTAATTAAATATACATTTACATAGGAATTTGAGCAATAAATAAACAGCAGACTGGGGTATATTTACTTATTAATGTTGGCTGTCTCAGAAGATTCAAATTTTTTGTAGAAGATAGATTTTAAGAACAGCTAGCTTCCTTTTCCAGTTTAAAGTATTTTTATGAATACCTCTGAAAATATAAGAACAGAGATATTCAAATATGGTAAAAAATGGTATCTCTAATTTTTTATGGAAGACTATATTAAATCCTAGAGTTTTCAGCATTTATTGTCTTTCAGACTGACCCATCAATTGACTATGAAAGTCTGAGGATGCACATTTGGGCCCAGTCTATTCTTAGAGACAGGTAAGTTCTCAGGTAGAAATAGAATCAGCTGGATACATGAATCGTTTAATTAAAAGGTAGTTATGTTTTTGGTTCCACTATGGTCTTGGACATATTGTATGGAGTTTAATATCATCTTTGATTTTCATTGTCAAGGAAAAAAAAGAAATATTTTAAATGGCAGTTATTCTTTGCATGTATTTTATTTTTTTTATACTTTAACAAAATATGCGTACATTAGTGAAGATGTTTTGTACATTAACAGCTGGCAACAAGATGATTCTGTGGATGTTATGGAAACCATCATGAATACTGTGTTCTTCAAAACAGTGGACCTAGCTTACAAAGAAGGTAGGTTATCATGTTGATATTAGTGTGTTGGTCTTGTGATCACATATGTAGTATATGTAATTTTTATATTTTATCACAAAGTACTTTTATTGTGTGCAACATTAAAATGTTCATGTTTCGTTTTTGAATTTTCAGTGAAAACACAATCTTTCAGTAAACAGTTTCTTTACCTCTTGAATATATAAGAAACAATCTAATTTCTAGAAAGCAATGTTATTATAAAATTGCTGAAATCAATAATGTTTATTTAATTTTTACAGACAAAGACAATATTTTAGTCTTGGGTGAACTACTATTATGTTCTTTATATTCTGATAAAATAAAGTCTTACTTTCTTTATTCAGGAATGGATGTGAAGACATTTATGCCAGAATTGAGAGCAGTGTTAAATTGTAATGAACTTGGAGAACTTAAAGATAATGCTGGCTTTCAGTATGATATGAACATATTGGACAAGTGTTATGATTTATATGACCATATTGGACAAGTGTTATGAATTACATGTATGTAAAGTCACAGATGAGTCTGCATCCGATACCAGCTTTGTATGAACTTATTGAATATGAAGTGTGATGATCCATGTTAAGTGAAATAGAAGTGTACAGGGAATATAGTTAATGTGCAAAGTATGGAAAGGTAGCTCAGTAATAAATCTAATAATGAAATGTGTAGTAGAATTAAGGTGTCACTTGAAATTTTGTTGGAAGGATTTGTTGTAATAAAAGACACGAATCTACTCTTTTTCGTGCTTTTTTTTATAGGTGGTTTCTTATGCAGGTGCAAAATTTGAGGGTTATTTCTTTACAAAGGGTTCATGTATATGAGTTCCTCCAAACATGGAGTTCAAACCATTAGTGTAATTTTATAACAGTTATAACATATAAAAGGAGAATCTTTGAGAAACCTTGTTTAAATTTGATGATTATTTGTATTTTGTAAAACCTGCGAAAATTGTTAAGTTTGAGTTTTACTTTTGAAGAGATTGTTGCTTTCTCTATATATTATAGCTTGCAATTATTATGTTTCTTGACGAGTTTTATTGAATGGGGTAAATGTAAATTACATCAACTCTCATTTTAATGGACAGTTTTCAAAAAGCATGTAGATAGACGATGTAGATAAAAGATGTTAATATCTTCACCCTCTGCAATTTGATTGCAAGGCAATTTGTCAAGTCTTCTGCCTAATACCATGTACATGTTATGAAATTAATTTTCAACTAATCAGCATCCAGGAAAACGGCCAATTACATGTGTATGGAGGATGGAGGATAGTCCAGAATCTTACCTAATGTGACAAGTTATTACCGGCCGCCAGGAGGCGGTCGGTTATATGATATGAAAGTTTTAAGTCGCTGTTCGTTTCTGCGGAGTTAACAATTTAAATAAAAATATTCAACATCATATCGCCGGCGATATAATATTAAACAAAGATTGTCTAAATGTTTAGGAAAAAGCACAATAATTGTAAAATTCAATTTTATAAATAATGGGGTAAATATTTCATCCAATCCTGATTGACAAACTCTGATATAACTGAAGTGCGGAAAAATCAGTACGAGTGTTAGGCATAGTCTAAAACAAAGACCGCGTTGTAAATCAACAATTTTACTTTCTCATTGAAAAACAGGATCTGCTGTATTAATTTGAAATGAAGTGTATATTTAAACATTTCCTATGGATATATTTCAAAAATATGATGAAATAATGATTTCTTAAAAGCAAAGAATATTACGACATGTTGATCCAGGAAACTAGGATAGAGCGCGTTTTACAGTGTGCCAAACATTTTCCCGCCACATCTCAACACCAAAAGAGAAGAAATGTAGTGGTGGATGTAGAAGGAGTTGGGGGGGGGGGGGTAACATACTCTAAGAGAGAGCAAGGAGCCCCGCGTGTTATATATTTGTTGTGTTTTTATTAAGGTAAAACTATAGCTAAGTTTAAACTTTAGTTTTGTACTTTTTATGTAAAAACTACTTAAACAGCAAGTTGTACCAAACTGAGTGCAGAGACGTAGAAGACTATGCATAGTTTATATTGCCTATTCATGTAATATTGTACATGCATTATGCAATCGGCATTGTCGCATGTATATTTTTTTCATGTCACGAGATTATTTTAACAGATAAACATAAGAATTAAAAAAAAAAAAAGAACAGCAAATTTCAGTGTCTGAAAGGAACTTCAACATTTATATAAATTGGTTTGCGGCTGATTTTTGACGCTTGCGTCAATATGTTTCTTGTTGCTTTCTGTGACAGGAAGTTTTTCTTGCTTACATATTACATATTCTAACTTTCATAGTTGCCTTTTATATGACTTCTAATTACAATAGGCTTTTTGTATTTGATTACTGTTAACCTTGTTTTTGCCATATATTTTCTAGCTTAGAAAGCTGGTTTCAAAATAGTAAAAACTAGCAGAAAAATGTACATACATAAATTCCATTGGGTCAGTTTCATTACGGTAAATATCACTTCATGATTATAAAAAGGATAAAAATTGAAGTAATATACAATATGTTGAATCCAGTTTGATTTTATGTTGTTTAGAAGCAGGACTCACGTCAGCTGACACAACTAAAGACCTGGTTATTGGACATGCATCCCACTCAGTGAGTCAAAGTTTCCATACTCTTATAAGAAGAAGTATTTATTTAGGTTCGCTGTGTTTTTCTAGTAAGCTAACTCTAAAATTGATTAAAAAACAATATTTGTATATACTGATGCGTAGAAATATACACAGAAAAATCTGCGCTAACGTGACGTCAAAATGAGGCTACAGCGACGTTAATAAAAGTATAACAATATAGGGCAGCGAGAAATTCAAACAAAGTATACTTTTGGTGCTTCCAAACATGTAAAATGTAAATGTAAGGAATGTTTATAAGTTTAGTAAGAATTATTGGTGTGTGAACCTCACAGACTAGCATGTAGGCATATTTTTCACGAAGCGCTAGTGCACTTCATGAAATAAACTTTGGACAAGCCTGTGTGATTCACACACCAATAACTCACATAAAAGTTAAAACATTCCCTAAATACACCCACTTCAAAGAGGGGGATGTTTAACCCTTGGTTATCTGTCTGTGAGTGTCTGTAACAAATGTTTTCGCAGTTTTATCAGTAACTACTCACTTCAGATGCTTCTTGATCAAAAACGCTGACTTTTTTCTTTTTTTCATACAGGGTTTTGTATTTCTTGGTGCGGGTGTCAATTTGGATGTTGACTTGACTGTACACTTTGGACTGGGTAAGATAGACTTCATTAAGAATTAATCATGAATACAGTTGAACTCGGTTAGTACAAACGGGGATATTTCGAATTCACCGATATAGCGAAGTTATCTTGAATTCCCAGCTGTATTAATTTAACAAATTTCTTATATGGATGTTATGAATTACAAATATACCGAAGTGATTTGATAGGTCCCTGTGACTTCATAATAACTGAGTTTTACTGTACGTACAGTGCTCAAAGTGGTTTAACAAAAATGATATAGGGTAGGGTGGTGTAATTTCGACCACCTGGTTAATTTCGACCGTTCATAAATACCTTAATATAATTTGTTTATGGCGTATAATTGTGTATGTATATTTCTATTACTGAGTATTCAGAAAGCAAACGTATTTCTAATATATTGTGTCAAAAATAATTTTATTTCCATGAGTGTCAATAAAGTCGTTATTGGAAAATTACATCAAAGAATAGGCTTTATAACCCGTAAAATTACAGACGAGTATATTTTTTGCCACTACGGCGAACTATCACCTCAGAAAAATCTTGTATGGAAAGGCAATAAATGGATATCCCTGACGTGACATTTATCAAATATTATTTTGAAAATGAAATTTATACCCTTTTAATTTATAGTATATTAAATTGCAAATCGGCTGAACAGAAATGGGCCGAAGTTATCCCAACTTGAATACGGCGTCAGTGGGTAACTTCGACCAATGTAAAATGACGCAATTCACTATCTGTAACCAGAAAAAATTCATGACCATCCGGAAAAAAATTTGATAAGAATAATGTACATTAATACCCGATAGAAACAAGTACTACAATAGTGAAAAATCATTTGTTTTATTAATATGGGCTTTATATGCCTGTATATGTATATTTGTTGCATGCTTTAACGAAATGGCAAATCGGCGACATGGACATATCTGGTGCACTCGATTTATTCAAACTGGGTACATTTTGAAAATTGTCATTTTTTGGGTCAGTATTTTTACTCGATCCTTTATGCTGTTCAGCAGAAAAATTATAATTCATATTTTTTTTCTATATCAGAGCTGACGCCAATTATTTCCTTTGTATTGGCTCATCGGTCGAAAATACCCCCTGTGCGGTGGAAATTACCCAAAACACAGCTGTAAATCGAACGCATTTATTCTATATTATGACCAAAAATATATACAAATTCGATGTAATCGGAAAGATAAAATGTATTTCTAAGATGAAAGGATCCAGTAAAAGTTGTAGCTTAATATAACAGTGATATACTTTAACAAGTGTTTGGTACAAAAGAAAAATCGGTCGAAATTACACCACCTACCCTAAACCACACATTCAGTGTTCCAAGTTGTGTCTAAAATGGTTGCATTTGCGACCAAAATTATCTAATGTTCCTCTAGCATACTGTATGATAGTCTACAGGACGTGTTGTGTTCAACCATAGGGGTGATTCTATGAACTAATATGGTTTCTTCACCCGTTGTTTTGTCATAGTAATAAAGGACATAATATACACATACATAATAAATGTTGTTCCTTGCTTTATTGTATGCGCCATGTAAATGTATTATGTACAAAAAGTTTTTATCATGGTGGGTGAAATATTTGTTGGTAGCAACTAGATATTCTGAAATGGCAACCATAGTATTTTTTCAGGTGTCATTTAGATACCTTGAGGGAATGGGGCTTGGAGAACTGAACATTACTATAAAAAAAAGAATAAGGCCAACTGTTTGATGTTATTTGACCAATCTATCTAAATTCTCCCATACTCAAATGATTTTTTTATTTGAAAATGCATATAGTTCCTACTGTGTATTCTACCATACAGTGACAAGGTTTTGTGTTTTTATAGGCATTGAATGTTTTAGATTTCAAATGGATTTCATATAAAAGGAATAATTTCAGTTTTACAGTCGATCATAAGCTATTCCTTAGCAAGTGTACATTTGATATCATCACAGTTAGAGTACTGTGTTATATTACTACATGCATCAATTTAATTATATACCAACTTAACCATGTTAACTACAAATTCTCTCTGATGATAAGATTCTGATTTTTTTTTTTTATTATTTAATAGGAAGTTTTCAAATACATGTGAGACAACTAATTAAAAAGCATTGATATACTGCATAGTGGCTTTTAAGTTACTATATTATATATATGTTTTATTTGATCAATTCACAGTCCTAAAATCAACACATATATTTGATTTTCATCACTTGTTTGTTTTCCCTTTGAGCAACAAACAGATTGTCATTTGTATCTATACACAGTCCCCAGGGATAACTCAGTCTACAGTCTATGTAACGGAGGAACTGTCCATCCTGGTCTATGATGTGGACACAGTCATTGTTAAAATCAGCTGTAAGGATGTGACTCTGACTGTCTGTGGTGATTCCTCGTGGATCAAATGGTTTGTTCATTGGAGCAGGAGTATGTCCAGTGTACCTGAATCTCAGTTTCCCGGCCTGATTGACCACCACTACTGCTTTAGCTCCATTGTCAGACACACAGATATCCAGGTTTCTGTTCTCAGTTATGTATCTCTTATAAAGGCCAGATGAAATGAGAGGTTTACGTTTATCATCAAACTGAATGGTTTGTTTCTCTGTGGAGCCAGAATAACGGACAACTTTTGTTTGTTTGTAATCATCACTGTTCATGATAACCAGGAGGTCACCAGAGGAGGTAATACAGACATTGTTAGGTCTCCAGTTCTGTAGTCTGATTACCATCTCTATCTTCTCATTCTTCACAATGTTCACAGTTCTATCATCGTTATCAGTATAAAATATATCTCCACTTTTTGTCACCACTATTTCCCATGGTCTGTTCCCTGACTTGGTTGTGATTGACTTGAGTAATGATCCCTGATTGATGCTGTAGAGTTTCATGGTGTTGTCATTTCCTCTTATCCAGATTTCTTCATCACTCTGACAGGCCACATTGTAAAGGTCATAATTATACCCAGTATCTATGGTGGTGACAGTCTCTGGTTCATCAAGCAGCTGTTTGACTGGAGGAGAGGATCCAGCTTCTGATGATTTTTGTGTTGTCTTTGTAATGTAGCCATCTTCATCTGAGGTCAAAGAACTTAATGATAAAGTTCCAAACAATTTACTGAGATTTTCTCCTTGAATTTTTTCTGGAAGGAATTTCGATAAGGACAGGGATAGTTTTTGTGGAAGATTTCTGTATCTATGTCTATGTACATTTGATGTAACACTGAACAGTTTTGACAAGTTATTAGAGTCTATCACTATTTCAACTGAATCAATTTCATCCTTGATATCAGACATTGCCTTGTTTATTTCGTCCAGATGTTTCTGTAAAGTTTGTAACTATGTGATTTTCATCTCATCAACTTTAGCTTTAAGTTTCTTGACAAGTTTGTCAATTTCTCTGTGCCAGTCCTCTCCATGTTTTGTAATGGCTGTTGAGAGATCTCCATATTCCTTTTCTAACTGACTGATTCTGATTTGTACATCAGAGGCAATATCCTGGTAAGTGGGATAAATTTCCTCCTTTAATTCAGTTAGTTCTTTAATGATTTTGTCCTTTTTCTCGTCCACAATATCTAAGATTTCGGATAATTTATGACCCAGGTGTTGATCAGATGCTAGACACTTTGTACAAACAGGAATGTCACATTGATTACAGTACATTGTACATTGTTGTTGTTTACAACAGTAAAATACAAAAGTCCATGGGTCCATGCCCCAGGGTGGGGTTTTGGTCTCATACTTGTATTGCAAATACATTGCATCCTTGGAATTTTCTTGTCTCAATGACTATTATCAAGCAAACTGTTTGCATCATAATTATTTTGATTAACACTTCTCCCTGTACTTAATTATGAAATATGTGGAGAGATGGAACTGAGTTGGCCACATGAAGTAACTTCATTAAACTCAGAGCAGAAGTATGAATTCTTTATTCATTGATCTTTAAAATCCTTGGTAGTTTTTTTTTCATTTTCATAAATAAATATATAGCTAAATATCAATTGCTATCCTCATGTATTTATTGTTAACTATTTACTATTAGGTAAATTTTGCACCAAAATATGAAAAAGTTAAATAATTATTATATAAACATTACCTGACTCTTACGACAGTAATGGCTGCCGATAAAGTGGGTGTCGTTCTGATCGCATGACCAAGTTACCTGTGCTATCTACCAGGTATTTATACTTCCTGGTCTACATTTAGCAGGGATTTAAATCTCAACTCTATGTTTTGTTTTTTACTGTGACAAGCTTTACTCTTTCAATATTTGATTTTTAAAATATTGACAGTAAAATAATAAAATTCTCTTGGCATGATATCGGAAATTTAAGGAAAACTGATCACTAAAACAATTCACCCCCCCCCCCCTCCCCATTAATAATAGCACAAAAGCGTTCATCAAACAACAATTATGGATGAAAGTTGGATTCCATGCACTAAATGATATCAAAACCAATTGTTTAATTCATAACTAAATTATTTGGAGTACTAATTTGAATTAAATCACCTGAATCAATCAAATCAATCTTAAACGTTAATGTTTTTTCATGTAAAGGATGTAGGATTGATTGTGAGAATTTTTGTATGAATTTATAATATGGAGATAATGAACAGTACTGAAGCTCATAGTCCAGTTAAAGAAAACAAATCGGTGGTAACACGGACCTCCAATAAATGATGTCGACCGGTTACACCCACCGTGTGCTCCTTGTCATGAAAATTCATTGTGAAAAAAATATTGGCCTTGCAATATCTGATATGTCAGTTTTTCTAATTGATATGAAGTACATATATCAGTATATGCTTATGTAAATTTATACATGAAACAGATATGGTGGAATTAGTGTCACCTATCTTTAAGATAAAGTGAAAGTCATGATTTGTTTATTTCAGCTTTCTTGGATACAGATGTAAATGGAACTCCCAGTGAATTAGAGAGCTTGATGATATTGGAATATAAGGACACATACTCGGTGAAACATTTTTTGTTCTATTTACCAACAGAACCCTATTTCATATGTTTTTTTTTTTTTTTTTAAAAAAAAAAGCTATGTTGATAAAGACACATTTTGTAGGAATGTACTTAAACCTTTGGTGATCTACTAAATTGCAAATTTACACACTTTGATTTTTTGTTATTACTAGAAAAAAATGTGTATCTCTGAACTTGTCACTCAATGCATCGTGAGATAAATCAGAATAATAAATTAAAGTTCTTTTTTAATTCCTATCACTGTACAGGATGATTTTGAGTACAGCCTTCAGAAGTATAAACTGTTACTAGGTCTTGTTAGTAACTAGGAGTCGTAATTAAGAAGAAGTAACAAATTTTATTTTTCCAAAAAATGGAAAGTTGGTGATATGTACAGAGATACATGTACTAGATGTATTGGAACTGGAAACTACAAAGATGTAAATGCAACTATGTACTCTCATATTTGAATTTTTTTCTCAGGATCTTGCGCTGGAGTTGGAGTTTTCTTCTCTGGCAGTGTGGGACTGTTTTCTATCAGTGCTCCACAGAAACAGGAAGTCAGGTCAAGGGTTAAGTTGAAAGTATTTAGTACACTTGCACCTATAAGTTATTTAGCTTTAATCCAGTGCATTTAGATGTCACATGAACTTTTAATTTTCCATGATCTAATCTAGTCCCCTCATAAACAGATTTTATCTTGGAAAAGGTGGATTACAAGAGCATGGTATTAAGAATGAAAAGATATTCTATTTGAAAAGTCTGATTTTTAAAATCTCTAATTAAAAATAACAGTTACTATAATTTTTTTTTAAGTTAATTTATAAACCCTCACGAATTCCATTCCTTAAAATAATCTGTCCAAACCTTATTCTTTATAGTAAGAAAGTTTCTCTGCTTTGTTTAATTATGATTTTATTATAATATTTCAAGCATTATGGAGGAACCCTCTCAAGACCTCACCACAATGGACATGGTATTAATTTACACTTTTATAAACAATAAAACAGTTAATTTCCTGGGGTTTTTATCATCTCAAAAACAACCCCAATGCATACCTTTTTTTCTACATGAATTGCAATTTTTACAAAATTTTCAACTTTATAGCGAGCGTCGAGAAGCGACACTCGTAAATGCGAGCTCTAACGACAACGCCTGGGCGAAAAGAAAATTCAGACTACTGCACATTCATTCAATATAATTTTTTGACGCAGTAATTTTGACCCACAATGCAACGCTTAGCACACAATGTTAAAGCAAGGTTCTCGCCAGAATAAAAACAAAAAAGGTTAAATGAATAAAAACCTTGCTCTGATTTAATGACATTGTTGCAGAAAAGAGTCAATAAAACGGCTCATCATTTAAAATCATACCTCTACATTAAATCTCTTAGCTGGCTTCACAATATACAGACCAACAACTTCTCTAAGGTAAACCATACCTCTATATTAAATCTCTTAGCTGCTTCCATAATATACAGACCAACAACTTCTCTAAGGTAAATCATACCTCTACATTAAATCAAAAAACATGGCATTTAACAGATTTGCTGGTGAATCAATTTCCTTTTCAGGTCACCTGAGTAAACTCAGGTGACCTATTGCTATCCGTTTTCGTCCGTCGTCGTGCGTCATGCGTTAACATTTGAACATTTTCAGCTTCTTCTCTGCAACCACTGAACCAATTTCAACCAAATTTGGCACAAAGCATCTATGGGTGAAGGGAAACAACAATTGTGAATTTTATGACCCCTGCCCCCCTGGGGCCTGAGAAGTGGGGCCAAAACCACTAAAATTAATGCAATCTTTAAAAATCTTCTTTACTCCTGGACATCAAGCAGTCAAACTTTTTGCATGATTGTAATCAGCAATGAGTCTTCTACTAAAATCGTGAAATTCATGGCCCTGGGGTCAGGGGTTCTAGTGCTAGGGCGGGGCTAAATAAGTAGGTAGTGAAAATGCATTATTTCTTTGAAAATCTTCTTCTCTGCTCCTGGGTATTAAATAAACTAACTAAGTGCATAGTTATGGTGAGCAAGAGTGCCTGTACCAAAATTGTGAATTTTGTGGTCCCAGGGTCAGGGGTTCTGGTGTTAGGGCGGGGCTCTATTGATCATATAGTGAATGTGCATTATTTCTTTTAAAATCTTCTTCTCTGCTCCTGGGTATTAAATAAACTAACTAAGTACATAGTTATGATGAGCAAGAGTGCCTCTATCAAAATAATGAATTTTATGGCCCCAGGTCAGGAGTTCTGGTGTTAGGGTGGGACTCTATTGATTATATAGTGAAAATACATGAATTCTTTGAAAATATTCTTCTCTGCTCCTGGGTATTAAATTAACTAAGTACATAGTTATAGTGAGCAAGAATGCCTCTTCCAAAATTTAGAATTTTATAGCCCCAGGGTCAGGGGTTCTGGCGTTAGGGCGGAGCTCTATAAATTATATAGTGAAAATACATGAATTCTTTGAAAATGTTCTTCTCTGCTCCAGGGTATTAAGCAGATGAACTACCTATATAGTTAAGATGGACAAGGGCCCTAATCTTCCAGAATTGTGAATTTCAAGGCCCCAGGTTCAGGGGTACCATAGAGGGGGGGGGGGCTGTACTTATATACTGAAAATGAATGCATGGTTTGAAATCTGCTCCTTGGTATTAATCAGATATCAAGGCCTAAGAGTCAGGGGTTCATGTGTGGTAGGGGCACTACTGATTATTGCTCAATATTACTGATTAGTTGAAATTTTTTGTTCCCCTACCCTGCGTATAGGTATTAAGTAAACAAACTAAGCAACTGCTTAGTGTATTGTTATGATGATCAATGGTGCCTCTTTCAAAATTGTGAATGCCATAGCATCTGGCTTAAAACATGAATCAAATTCAATCACTGGAAAATTGTTGCATAATTCTCAGTTGACCTATAAGGCCCATTGTTTTCCTAAGTCTTATTATTTTATAGAGCTAGAGATATTTACCAGCCTAATCATAATAATATACCCTGGAAGAATTCTTAGGGCTGTTCATCAGAACTGATGGTAATCAAAGATTTTTGGACATAAAGTTCCTGACTGTCCATCTGTACACCTTCTATAGTCGTGTTTGTTGAAAAATTGTGATCTTTGTATTTACTTTTGAATATTTTATGTGTGTTTTCATATTCATAGGTGAAATATTTTAAATAAAACCAATCATTTAGATATCAACATGTTTGAATCCATAACATTAACCCTGGAATTTGACTTCCTGGTGGAAAAAATGAACCAAATTTTTAACCTTGGCCAATTTAACTTTAGAATCCCATTATGGTTAGTGTTTGGACTCTCGGATTTTACAAACATGTACCAATATTTTTGTCCCCATGATCTAGGAGTTTGGCCTCCATTAAAAAAACTTTAACCTTGGCAATGAGCTGCCATATAGGTCATCAGTGTGTCTCAAACACATCGTATGTTATATGGAAAGTAAATCTAGTACTGTAAATCACTTTTTCTTCGCGAGAACTTTATTTTCGCGTAATTACGCGAGACGGCATGCTCACGAAATTTTCATTCTCGCGTATTACAGAATTCCTTAAGATTATATAGAGCAATGACCACAATTCGTGAAAATTTTGTCTCGCTAATAAGGAGTCAATGACTATCTCGCGGAAATAAGGTGTCGCGAAAATTAAGTGATCTACAGTATTTTATTTTCATTTTCAGGCCCACACCACTCTTTTAGAGTTGGGCAAAATGTAGTAGGGTTCTCTGGCAAAGAAAAAGGTCCGGATTTGTTGATGATAAAACATTTAATTGATATCTTATAAGACAGGAATACTTGTTCTCTTTTGAAAAAAAAAACGTTTCCCCCGCTCTCTAACAAAGAACAGTATTGATATTACAAAGTAAAAGAAAGATAGACTGGTCATTTGTAGATGCTCTATTTAAATAATTTATGTAGTCTAAAGTTTTCTTTTCTTGGGACAGAGAAGTGTATAATTGTATTTTTGTATTGAATAAAAGATTGCTTAAGATAAGTTGTGTTTAAAATAGTAAATTAAGTTTTACAAGATTAGTAGATATACATGTAGATAAACATTATTAAGTTTGTCTGAAGCACTAAATTAAGTTACATATGACTGAGTAGCTCTACATTTTGTTTTATAGGCTTTAAATTGGCTGGACTAGCAGCTGACCCAGATAACGGAGAAATAGACAGCAACATACTAGGTTCGTATTTTTAATTAAGTGTATTAGACATTATTCTTACCACATGGGTTCAGTAAAACATTGAATTCATAACATGAACCTTTAAGAATTTTTGATGAAGTCATATGCTCTAATTTCTATTATAATATTCTATCAAAATATCAGAAAGAGGTTGCAATTCTTTACTAAAGAAAAAATAACATTGTTAATAAAATGTACAGCAATTTATCTTATTAAAAAATTACATTTTAGTCGTTTTACAAAATTGATATAGCAACCAAGAAACTAGGTCGGTTAAATCTACATGTATTTTTGAATGGTCCTTAGATACTCAAATATTATGACACAGAAAAAAAACCATTTTCCTCTTTCGGTTTCTTTTCCTGTAGTATAAAATGAAGTATTTACCTTACATTATTGTTCAGGATTTATGTTCAAATGTATTTTCCTTGTTGTTCATTTCAGACATCAATGAAGAACAAGAATTAATTGCCCATCAGCAGCAGTTACCTGCCCTTGTCATAGAGGTCAATTTATATTTTGTTTTCATGTTCACCTATTTTATGTTCACCTATAAACTCACTGGGAATAATGAAATAGTGAATTTTAACAAAAATCACTTTTCTTGTAGAACCTTGGCATGGAGCCAAACAATATGAGAGTTCTCTCCCCTGTACAGCTGATAGAGGTATGTATCAGTGGGGACTTCCACCTTAAGTTCTGTCTCTATTCATCATATAGCATAAATATCAGTATTACTAATCATTTAGTATTATCTTGCTATTAAATGCTTATATTGTAAATTTTATTGAATTATTTAAGGATATCCGATCCTCAGCCAGGAAGGATAACTCCAAAAATTAACATTTAATTTCAAATGCATCAAAATGAAGCTTGAAGATGAATTTTTTTTATGCAACAATTTTCATTTTATTCATCTTTATAATATTCAAGGTCTTTGGACGTCTTAGAAAAGGTCTTATAAAAGTTGACATTTGTACCCTATAAAAGGAGAAAAAAATAATATAGCTTTAGAGAAATAAGATTTTCTTGAATCCAGCCTTATATACTAATGCTTTATAACATGATATGAAATGAAAAGTGATTTATGGTGTCTTGCAATGATAACAAAAGCCTTTTATGCTATGTATTATAGAATACATGACGAAAATAGAAGATAAAAAATACCAAATAAGTATAAAAATCATGACAATTTCTCTGAATGCCTGGATACCTATGGTTTTGTAGCCTAAAATATGTATGTTGATCAATTTGCAATGAGAAAATGCATTGCTGATATTTCAATTCGCTTTTTCTGCAAAAATATTGGAGATAAGACAATTTTCCCTATATAATATGATTAACTTTGATGTTTAATTTTAAGAAATACTGTGGATAAAATTACATATCTTTGTGGATTCAGAGATACTTTTATGAGTATTTTTGATTACTTAACTGTTAATTTTATAAACCTGAGGATCGGACTACCTTAATTTCTTTTCCAGTTATACATCTCAGGAACAAACATTGATGCCACGGAATATGATTTCAAGAAAGCACTGGATCTCTTACAATACATAGACAAGGTAAATGTATAGAATTGTCAGTATAGATAATGAAGGTAGTTAAATATATGTACATAGGAATTTGAGCAATAAATAAACAACAGACTGGGGTATCTTTACTTATTAAACAGAAACTGTTGGCTGTCTCATAGGATTCAAATCTTTAGGTCTCCTGAGTAAACTCAGGTGACTTATTGCTATCCATTTTCGTTCGTTGTTCGTCGTGTGTTAACATTTGAACATTTTCAGCTTCTCCTCTGCAACCACTCAACCAATTTCCACCAAATTTGGCATACAGCATGTATGGGTGAAGGGAAACACAAATTGTGAATTTCATGATCCCTGCCCCCCTGGGGCCTGAGGGGTGGGGCCAAAACCACTAAAATTAATGCAATCTTTAAAAATCTTCTTTATTCCTGAACATCAAACAGTCGAACTGTTAGCATGAATGTAATGACCATTGAGTCCTCTACTAAAATTTTGAAATTCATTTCAGGGGTTCATGGCCCCAGGGTCAGGGGTTCATGTGTGGTAGTGGCACTACTGATTATTGCTAAATATTACTGATTAGTCGAAATGCATTATCTGTTCCCCTACTTTGTTTATGGGTATTAAGTAACCAAACTAAACATGTTAAGAGTATAGTTATGATTACAAATGGTGCTTCTTTCAAAATTGTTTACTGCTAACTACCGGTAATAGTTAAAACATCTCTATTTATTTCATTCTGTATTTTTTTTATTTTGTATTTTACCCATTAAGATTGTGCTGGAAAATCTAATGAAATCACCCTTTTGTCATGTTTGTGGAGAACTACACGTGATACACGAACAAAATTTCTGCAGGGTGAAGGTCATCCGGTATAAACACCTGTGTCACTGAAGAATACTGTGGAAATCAACATCGTTTTGCATACAAAGATAAACAAAGTCTATTTTTTAAAGTACACCAGTAACTGGACTTATGGATATAAATCCTCACCCTATAAATTTAATTTAAACATCCCAAACATTTTTGTATTTACAAAACGTATAAGACAGAGAGAGAGAGAGAGAGAGAGAGAGAGAGAGAGAGAAGCCATGCTCGCGTGATGGGACCTCTACTGGACATAGACTTAGCATATGAATTTTATTACTGTTAATTCATAATACAAAATTGTTTCTGTTACAATTAGAGGGGTTCGCTAAGCCAACCTGGTTTTGAAAAAAAAAATGTATTTAGTTTTTAAAACGGTTAAGGTAATGATAGTTTATATCGGTTTATTCACATAGTTAAAAAACAATTTGTTTAAGAGCAAAAGAAATTAAAGAATAATACTGCAAGAATAATACTGAGAAGCATCGTAACTAAGCAGATTTGGCTGTTGGTTACATGACTGTGTCCACTTCACTAGATGCACTGACTACCTGTAGTTTACTTGTGTATTGTGTGCGTTCAAAAGGAAAGTGATTTCCTGTTTCGTGATGTACTGTATACATATTTCACAGTATTGCAGAATTAGTTTTATAAATGCAACAACAAGTTGATAAAATGGTATGTAAAAAAAAAATCAGTTAGCAAGAGAGGGTGTGTGTGTGTTTGGGGGGATGGGGGTAATGGTTAATAAGATTGTACAGTGTTTTATAAGAAAATCCCCTTTGTCTCAGAGAATGTTAATCTAACTTACTAAGAACTCTGTAGGACAAACTGGGGCATATTTTAAGAACAGGAATGGATCTTTAGCTTTTATTTTTTTAAGAAGATGAATTGAATTAATGTTATTTGGCATTTGAGTGTAACAATGTTAAAACCCCCTCCCGGCATATTTTTCCTTTCCTCTACACCAATATGCATTATACTGAGTACTTGCAAAAATGATGTGAAATCTGAAGTATAATGTAATTAAAAATGAAATGAACGAATTGTTGAATGATAATTCAACATTCCACCCCACCCCACCCCACCCTCCACCCTGCAACAAAAACACACACTATTTAAATTCAGGCACTTTAAAAAATGACTAAGTCCAAAGTAGGTACATTTTAGGCACACTGGAAAATATTTAAGTCCAACATAGGTACATTTCTGGCACACTGAAAAATGACAAAAATCATAGTAGGTATGCTGGAAAATATCTAAGTCCAAAATAGGTACATTTTAGGCACACTGAAAAATGACAAAGTCTAAAGTAGGCACATTTCAGGCACACTGTAAAATAACAAAGTCCAAATTATGTACATTTTAGGTACACTAGAAAAAAATTAAGTTCATTTTTGGCACAGAATAAGTATGCCTTTTCTGTACCTGTAATAGTAGGTACACATTAGGTACTGAAAAGGCACAAAAAAGTATGCCTATGTGTACCTTTTTAGCTCACCTCAACGAAGTTGGGGGAGCTTATGTAATACCCTCGGCGTCGGTGTCCCGGGTTAAGATTAAGTTTTTTGGAGCAGTTCTTCTATGTCCTATATTGATTAGACATGCATGGAAGATGTTTTTCGTGTGTTTCATTGTACCAGTCAAAGTTTCAGATGCTGCAATTTCAGCAAAAGAATGACCAGGTTAATGTTTTTGGAGCAGGTTAACATTTTTGGTGCACTTTTTGGTGTAGGTTTCATTTCCGAGTAACTATAAGCCCTATGTTAACCAAACTTGCATGGATGGTACATCTTAGGATGCACACTACCAGACTTTCTTCGGATGCTGAATCTGACCTACATTTTCCGGTTGAGTGAACAGGTTAAAGTTTTTGGTGCAGGTTTCATATCCAAGTTACTATGAGCCCTATATTGACTAAACTTGCATGGATGATACATCTTACTACCAGACTTGCTTCAGATGCTGAATCTGACCTACATTTTCTGGACGAGTGAACAGGTTAAATTTTTTAATACAGGTTTCATTTTCAAGTTACTTTGCAGGGGTTCAAAAATTTTTTTGTCATGGTCAAGTCCAGGACTTAAAGAGTAAATTTTAGGCAAGTCCAAGGAAGAAATTTAGAGTCCATATTTACCTATACATCATTAAATTTATGTTACTCATAATTTATTTTCATTTGTTGCATTGAATGAATAAAGACCATAATATTCTTTAACACTTTACAACTTACAGAATTGCTATGCAACATACATTGAATCCTCGCATCATAGAAATATTACTTTACCATTTCCCTGCAAGCACTTTATAGCGGGGAACAAATTTCTCTAAAGTTTAGCTTAAATAATATTCTGAAATAATATTTTAATTAGAAAATAACTTTTCTTATTTTCTGAGACTCACGCAAGTATAAAATAGTTGGAATTTGAAAATAAATTAAAGATTAAATGAACTTTTTAAAGTGCGTGAAAATGCGTGATTGCGGGGAAACGGTAAATGCGTGATTTTGCGTTAGAAATAGGAAATGGTATATGCGTTAAAATGCGTGACTGCAGGGAAGGGCGTTAATACATGTTTTATTTTCCCTCCATAAACTGTCATATGGTCATACACGAGTATTTCAACACAATACCAGACTGATTGATTATTGGTACATTACAATAACTTTTACAAATACTCACTACAGAATAAACCTTTTATTTGTTGTTCCTTTTTTAGCATTACTGCAGGTAGAACCGAAATTCAAACTCATTACTGTTTGTCATATAGGAGGAAACATGAGGAATTGCGTAAAAAGCAAGAGTCTAACCGCAATGGAAAATAAAAAGACGGATTGTATTTTCGAAGCGTTTGTTATGTTTTATGGGTATTTTAACGCCCACAAACCCACATTTTTACTTAATACATTTGAGAAACAAAGTTTGTTAAGCAAACTTGCATGGATGATACATCTTAGGGTGCACACTAATGGACGTGCTTCAGATGCTGAATTCGACATACAGATATTTGACCTAGTAAAAGTTATGGGTGCAGGTCTATAACCAAGAAACTATAAGGCTTATATAAACCAAACTTGCACAGATGATGTATCAAGGGATGAAATTCTCAAAATTGCTTCAGATGTTGGATTTTAATTATATATTTTCATGATGAAGAGCTAGTTTGAAGTTTTTATATAGGTCTATTCCAAAGTATAAAATCAAAATTGCATAAATTTTGCATTTTTGGATGTACACTTTTTGTTGGTTAATTGTGTGACTTTGCCTTACTTAAAGCCAACATTCGTTGAGGTGAGCTCTGTAATCTGATTACCTATGTTTTTTTGTTAATTTCAGTTTTACAGTAGTACATAAGCGATTCAATATCAAGTTTACATTTGATCTCATCACAGTTAGAGTACTATGTAATGTTACTACATGCATCAATTTAATCATATAACAACCATGTTAACTACAAATTTTCTCTGATGATAAGATTTTGATAATTTTTTTTCGCATACACATGATACAACTAATGAAAAAGCATTGATATACTGCATAGTGGCTTTTAAGTTATATTGGACTGTGTCATGCATAGGTTTTATGTGATCAATACACAGCCCTTATATCAACACATGTATTTGATTTTCTTCACTTGTCTATTTCCACATTGAGCAACAAATAGATTGTCATTTGTATCTGCACACAATCCCCAGGGTTCACTCAGTCCACATTCTATGTAACGGAGGAACTGTCCATCCTCGTCTATGATGTGGACACACTCATTCCAATAATCAGCTGTAAGGATTTGACTCTGATTGTTTGTGGTGATTCCTCGTGGATTGAAAGGTCTATTCTTTGGAGCAGGAGTATATCCAGTGTACCTGAATCTCAGTTTCCCGGCCTGATTGACCACCACTACTGCTTTAGCTTCACAGTCAGACACACAGATATCCAGGTTCCTGTTCTCAGTTATGTATCTGTAATAACTACCAGATGAATAGAGAGGTTTACCTTTATCATCAAACTGAATGGTTTGTTTCTCTGTGGAGCCAGAGTAACGGACAACTTTTGCTTGTTTGATATCATTACTGATCATGGTCACCAGGAGGTCACCAGAGGAGGTACTACAGACACCGTGAGGTCTCCAGTTCTGTAGTCTGATCACCTCCTCTATCTTCTCATTCTTCACAATGTTCACAGTTCTATCAATGTTATCCGTATAAACTAGGTCTCCACTTTTTGTATTTGCTATGTCTCTTGGTCTTTTCTTTGACTTGGTTGTGATTGACTTGAATATTTATCCCTGACTGATGCTGAAGAGCTTCATGGTGCTTTCATTTCCACTTGTCGTCCAGATTTCTTCATCACTTAGACAGGCCACATTGATAAGGTATTTATACCCGGTGTGTATGGTGGTGACAGTCTCTGGTTCATCAAGCAGCTGTTTGACTGGAGGAGAGGATCCAGCTTCTGGTGATTTCTGTGTCGTCTTCATTCTGTATCCATGTTTATCTGAAGTCAAAGAACCTGATGATAATGTTCCAAACAATTTACTGAGTTTTCCTCCTTGAATTTTTTCTGGAATGAATTTGGATAAAGTTGGTACTAGTTTTTGTGGAAGGCTTCTGTATTTATTTACATTTGAAGTGACTTTAAATAGTTTTGACAAATGATTAGTGTTTATAGTTATTTCAACTGAATCTATTTCATCCTTGATGTCAGACATTGTCTTTTTTATTTTATCCAGATGTTTCTGTAGAGTTTGTAACTGTGTGTTTTTCATCTCATCGACTTCAGCTTTTAGTTTCCTGACAAGTTTGTCAATTTCTCTGTGCCAGTCCTCTCCATGTTTTGTTATGGCTGTTGAGAGATCTCCATATTCCATTTTTAACTGACTCATTCTGTTTTGTACATCAGAGGCAATGTCCTGGTATGTGGGATATATCTCCTCCTTTAATTCAGTTTTATCTTTGATGAATTTGCTCTTTTTATCATCCACGATCTTTAAGATTTCTGATAATTTATGACCCAGATGTAGATCAGATGCCAGACACTTTGTACAAACAGGAATGTCACATTGTTTACAGTACATTGTGCATCGTTCTTTGCTATGAGATTTACATTCAGGGTAGAGGGGAGTAGATTTCCTGTCCTGAAATTTAACGACTCTGTGATCCTTGGATTCCCCTGTTGAGATGTGTTCTCCCACGCAGGCCTTACACAAGTTGACAAGACATGTATCACAGTGCATCTGTACCACAGCAGTCTCACACAGGTCACATCGCATCACGTCCTGGGCACTGGTACGGGGGTCCATGGTTATGCTTTTGACTCTAAAGTAAAGAGTTAATTAGGTCAGAAATAGAGCTACACTGAGCTATGTTGGTAAGATTTTGGAAACAAAACATCAGATATTTGATTTGTTTCTATCAGAGGGGCATTTATTTGGCAAATTATAAATGTTCAATTACAGAGTTTTAAATAAATATATGATTTTTATTTTTTACCAACAGTAAAATATAAAAAGTCCATGGGTTCATGTCCCAGAGTGTGGATTCATCTCATACATTTGTTGCAAATACAATGATCTTTGGAATGATCTAGTCTCAGAGACAATGATCAAGCAAATGTTTGAAGTCTATGATAAATACATGTATCATCACTTATCGAGGCCTGTACTAATTATGAATATTGTGGATAGATGGAGCTGAGTTGGCCACATTAAAAAACTTGTTCAGAAAACTAAGAGCAGGATGATTCCTTCTTTATTCATAGATCTTAAAAATCCTTGGTAACGTTTTTGTTTTCAAAAAAATCTTTTTATATAGCTATAAAACCATGCATTTACTGTTATATTGTAGGTAAAATTTTCAATTAAAATATCAGAATGTTTAATTATTATAAAATAATTACCTGACGTTTAAGTCTGTAATGGCTGCCAGTAAAGTCCCTGTTGTTATGTGTTCTTGTCACACGACCTAGTTACAGCATATCGACCTGTCAGGTATTATACTTCCTGGTCTATATATAGCAGAGATTTAAATCTCTGCACTGTATTTTGCTTTGTTAACTATGCAGAGCTTCACTGATTTTAATATTTGATAATAAATTATTGACAGTAAAAATAATATTTTCTACGCATGAAATAAAAAATTCAAGGTAAACTGGTCACTCAAAGAGTATCCGATGATACTACCATTATAACACCCCCCCCCCCCACCCCCACCTTATCCTTTTCCTACTACATCAAAAAATTGTCATAAAATAATAACCTTTATGGACTGAAATTTGATTCTGCTAACTAATCTTAATGACTTTAGTTAAATTAATAACAAAATTGGTTAATAATTTAGAGTCTGAATTAAAGTACCTGGGTCACATCTTAAACATGTAAAAACTTTAATGTATTGTACAGGATGTAAGATTAATTGTGAGAATTTTTTGCATAAATTATGGAGATAATGAACAGAATTCAAGCTCAATGACGATTTTAGCAATACAATCATGTACAAATCTGGGGCAAAAATGGACCTGTAAAAACATAAGAGATGGGATTAGGTGTCATGGAGAAGTGAGTATCTCCTGCCAACCAGTCACGCTCGCCATGTGTGCCTTGTAATGATCAGCAAAAAGCGGGAAAAAATCTGTAGAAAATTCATTGTGAAAATAATGGCCTAACAATATCTGATATGTCAGAAAACAGGTTTTCTTCTTGATAATCGGTATATGCTTATGTAAACATTGAAATATATCATACACAGACATAGGAGATATGGCACCGATCTTTTACTTAAAACCATGCTTTATTTATTTCAGCTTTCTTGCATACAGATATAAACGGAACTCCCAATTACAATTAGAGACCTTGATGATTTTGGAACACATACTCGGTAAAAATTTTTTGTTCACTTCTACTATGTAACACTGGCAAAGGGTTTCTGATCAAGATAATTTTACACTAACTACTTAGTAAGAATATCTTTAAAGCATTGACGATCTTCTAAATTGCAGATATTTAAACCTGGTATCGATTTAGCGTTATTACAAGTTTAAAATTGTGTATTTCTGAATCTGTATTAGGTTTGTTTATATTGCAGTACAACTATTTAAAACATTGACATATATGGAGGTAATAAACAATATTAAAGGTCTTACCATACAGTGTCCTGGGTATTTTGGGTTGTATACGGAAATGAGTTCATCTGAGCAACATTAATCAGCCTGAAATAACATTTGGGATTTTTTACGCAATTTGGAGGGAGCAGAGTCGATCGAAGTTACTTGACTGCGAAGATGAACTTCAGCTAGTGCAGCTCATCTCCCTTTGCTTATGACGTCAGTAAGACCCCTCGCTACATTCAGTACTAATATTTACATAGCCTTTTTAAATCATGATAATTTTGTCCAACTTTAAATTTTTTTTAAGCTACGTTTCTGTGTGTATTGACAGACCAAATTTTCTTTTTATTTGAAATTTGAAATACTAAAGAGCAGTGAAAACACACACATTATTCACGTAAAGCTTGTCCACGATTTTACCGGACAACCCTTGTATATATCATTTTCATTAGTTCTCGAGTTTCAGATTAAATGATTGCATTCAAATACACCGACTTTTCCTCTCTCACGTTTATCATGAACTTCAATCTAACCATGTTCATTTAGGGAAAGGGGGGGGGGGTTACATCGTGTATCATATACGTGTAAAAACAAACAAGAAGGTTGTTGTTTCTAAGGTATTAATTTAAAATAAGTACTAGTAATCTTTTTTAAAATTGATTTCAACGGGGTTTTCATCAGGATCATCTTACTATGAAAAGCTCTCCTTTATGTACCCAATTAACGATAAGTTCAAATAGACTAAACTGTTCTTTAGAATCAGATAGCTCAACCAAAAATATAGTCACATTTATATCTACAAAAAAGACTAAAAATAACTCAATAAAATACAGTAAAATTACACTAGATTTAATGCGTTGTTTACAACAATGGGTCTTTGTGACGTCATACAAACACAAAATCAAGGACGATAAGCGGGTAACAAGTTAATCAAGCGGACAAGTTTAGGCCTTTATTTTTCTGTAAAGCAAAAGCAAATGTTTTTTTTTACCAAACGTGATTTAACAATCTTTCATACCAGTCTTTATGTTTAAAAAGTAAAATCCTAGTGTTATGAATTGTTTCGTACGACCTTTGAAGCTCAAAATCCATAAAAAAAATAAAGATTTGGAACAGAGCAATCAGAGACCTCATCAACATCAGAAGTTGGATGAGGTGCCAAGGAGAAGTGAGCATCCTCTGTTGACCGTATTATATGTCTTTTGCCATTCACACAAGTTTGTGCAATGTTAGGCTCATAGTAAACAAAAGGTTGTTGTTTCTAAGATATTACTTTAAAATAAGTACTAGTAATCTCATTGTATGGTTTTGTTCTTTATATTTTGTGAATTTCAACGTAAAAATTGTTGAACGTATGGTTTAGATATCATTGATCAATTAATGATTTGAGATGAAAAGCTAACTTTGTTTATTTTTTCACATTTTATGGGCCCAGTGCATTCGTTTTTTTTTGAAATCGTGTGTCTTTAAACTGTTCTTTATAATTAGTACAATAGTATACTTTAAAACTTTAAAAACCTTAAAAATTTTTATATGTATCGTGATTTTACATTTATATCCAAAAAAAAACTAAAAATATTTTTATTTTTATTAACCGAGAGACATAAGTAAAATAATATATCATAAATGTAGTGCACATAGATTTTATTTGAGCGACATATTGTATATTAAATATGAAAAATAAAGGCATTTATACATGCAGCAATTTATCGACTTAATCTGGTTTGATTTCACCAATTAATGCACATGTATGCATTAACCTTGTCCCGGAGTAATTATTATTTAGTAGGCCGCATTTCATTTCCGGAATTTTCTGAACTCTTCATTTCAGACATTTTTAAGTTTTTACATTTTTAAAAAAGTTTTCATCTCCGACATTTGTCAAATTCAGTCAGTACTTGTTTAAAAAAAAAAATCATACATCCGTGTTAAAAATTCTTAGGTAAAATATTTTAGATTATTTATTCAAGTAAAGCCTTTCTCTTAGCTGTCAAAAAAACTTATTAATTTTACCTGGAACAGATGTAGCATGTATTGTGAATGTGAAGACTTAACTGTTTCCTTTACTTATTAACTAGTCTTAATATTGTTTAAGAGTGTATGTAATGATTAGAAAAAACGTGATTTGAAATAAATAATTTTATACAATGCACATATACAATACCCTGTTAAAATTCTAATTTCCATCTTTGTTATATATATGTTAAACTTAAATTGCCGTAAAGGTATCCTTAAAAAATCCGAAAATGTGAAAAAAAAGAAATAAATAATGTCGAAAATGAAAATAAAATTGTCGGATTCCGAAATAATAACAAAAATTGTCAGCAATGTTAAATTCAGGAAATGAAATGCAGAGATCTAGTAGATATAATAATTAGCCTTTGAATAGGTAAGAAACAGTGTTAACTTATAAAAACACAGGGGATATGGTACTTTAGGTTTTCTCAAATGAAATAATTATAGGCTAACCCCCAACTGCCCAATCCGTAGGCATATTGTTTTTACAATAAGGGGTGTAGGGTAGTACACCGTGACATAAGCCCCTGTCACAGCTGGTGACCCTCCAGTTATTAACAACAATATTAAACGTAAAGAATGACAGATATTTTTTATCAATACTATAATGAAATATATTTTGAAAGATGTGAACTTCAGTTTTTGAGAGTGGATTAGTCAAACGTTTATCATGTTTATAGGAAAGAGAGTTTAACTAAATGGTTCGTGTTGGACTAACGAACATTTATCTGTTCATTCAATACTGATTAATTTGCCAGTAAACAAGGCGGTGAAGGTAAATGTATGTACATTTGTATTCTTAATATTTTTTAATGATAATTTTGACATTAGTGTAATAATTTAAACGACAAAAGAAGCATATCTTACCTTTCCGACAGGAAAACCGATCAATAAATCTATACATTCCTTTATTTATGTATTAATTTCGATTTCTTACTTATTGTTTACTACATTTTCTTGGAGAAAACACTAGCTATTAATACGACTATATATCCTTAATTGATTTTAAAAGAATAATTTTTCAATTAATATCGAATGAACCTCATGCATACAATTTATATAAGAGGCCGAGGGCGGACCTTTTCTTATAGAGCCAGGCGGACCAAATATGTTATCGTATTGATAAACGAGGCTACCAAATATTAACAGTCACACCCGCCTTCTGCTCCTTTTCATGATCGGGAAATAATAGAAAAATAAAACATACAATTTTATGGAAAAGAAATGTTTCCATTGTACATGTTGCAGTGCACGATAAATCAAAAAAGTAAAAGTTTGTTTTATTTCCTATTAAGGTTGATTTGGAGTACAGCCTTCAAAAGTATAAACGGTTGTTAGCTGATCCTACCACAACTACTGCATACATCTACAACAGAAACCATATTCTATTTGCATCAGGTGAGTTGATCCTACATCCATAACAGACACTAGATTCTGTTTGTAACAGGTAAGCTAATCCTACATCTACAACAGAGACCAAATTTTGTTTGTATTACCAGGTAAGCTGATCCTACATGTACAATAGAGACCAGACTCTGTTTATACCAGGTAAGCTGATCCTACATCTACAATAGAGACCAGATTCTGTTTGTACCAGGTAAACTGATCCTACATCTATAATAGAGATTAGATTCCGTTTGTACGAGGTAAGCTGATCCTACATCTACAACAGAGACCAGATTCTGTTTGTACCAGGTAAGCTGATCCTACATCTACAACAGAGACCAGATTCTGTTTGTACCAGGTAAACTGATCCTACATCTATAACAGACACCAGATTCTGTTTGTACCAGGTAAGCTGATCCTACATCTATAACAGAGACCAGATTCTGTTTGTATCATATAAGCTGATCCTACATCTATAACAGAGACCAGATTCTGTTTGTATCAGGTAAGTTGATCCTACATCTATAACAGAGACCAGATTCTGTTTGTATCATATAAGTTGATCCTACTTCTACAACAGAGATCAGATTCTGTTTGTACCAGGTAAGTTGATCCTACAACAGAGACCAGATTCTGTTTGTATCAGGTAAGCTAATCCTACATCTACAACGGAGGCCTGATTTTGTTTGTACCATGTAAGTTGATCCTACAATAGGGACCAGATTCTGTTTGTATCAGGTAAGCTGATCCTACAACAGAGACCAGATTCTGCTTGTATCAGGTAAGTTGATCCTACATCTACAAAGGAAACCTGACTTTTTTGTACCAGGTAAACTGATCCTATGACCACCACAGCCTATATCTACAGCAAAGACCAAATCATGTAATAATGAGATTTCTATATGCATGTTAATCTTAAGATGTCATCTTGATATAACAAAAAATGTAAATATTTCTATATTCAATTTTATATTCAGTATTTGTTTCTGTACTGATGAGGATAGTTAACTGACATGTTGAACTAAATAAGATAAAATTTATGAATACTGTGACTTGACTGTACACTTTGAACTGGGTCCGATAGACTTTATGAATTTATTCTGAATACAGACACTGCTCAAATTGTTTTAACAAAATAACATAAACCAGAAATTCATTGCTCCAGACTGAGTCTAAAAAGGTTCAATTTTCGACCAAAAAAATGATTTTTCGACTGGAATAAAAACTATGTCACATTTTTGCGACTGAAAATATTTGGCCTTACGATTGTCTGTTTTCATAATTGGTATTGATGTATACTGGTCTTTTTTCCCAAAAGATTCTCTCTCAAAAAATGTTTAAAGACATTCCTAAAACTTTGTAAAACATCATCTAGCCTGAGATTAATATGTAATGTTATGCCAGCATGCTGTATGATAGTCTGCAGGACGGGTTGTTTTCAACTATAGGGGTGGTACACTGGTACTATGAACTATTCTATCACAATAATTGCTGAGATCAAACACTCAAGTAGCTGATAAATGTAGGAAACTGATTTTGTCATTGTATGTTAAAAGAATAAATTTAGGACAAAAACAAATTTACTTTTAGTTAATAAAACTATTTTTAATGTAGCGAAAGCTAAAATCGTCTGCCTTCCGTTCGCAGGTAAACAAACAAATTTACCCACTGTTGTTAAATGACGTAGCGTAACTGAGACATGATGACCTCTATAGGGTAAACAATCAGCTTATTATACAGCTCATAGTAGAAAAGAAATAAAGACCTTGTTGTCGTGAATGATGCAGGATAACCTCCTCTGTGTCGGCTTTTATATATCATTTATCGACCTCGGATGTTATCCTGCAACATTCACGATAACGCGGACTTCATTTCTTAAGTACTTTCTATGTGGTTTCTTCAGCCTAGCAAATCGCAGCATTGTTAAGGCTTGAAAAAGGGGGCGGGGCCTAATTTATACGGGAAAAGTTTACTGTGACGTCACACAAAATCTTGATTTTTATGTATTTCTTATAATACGTGAAAATGAAATTTTTTGCAACTTTTAACTGTATTAGCATAATAAACAAAATAACTTATCAATGCATTAAAAAATCTTGCTGGTTAGATCCCACGTAGCTGGTTATAAACATAGTACTGATCGCGATGAACTTGTAAACATGACGTCATATTGGTAAACATGACGTATTTCATGTGCTGTGAGAGGCAGACTGAGGAAATTTTTAACAATGAAAAATGCGTCTTATTATTAAGCGGAATATTATTTACAGGTTTTAAATAGTCGATTCATACTAAAGTATAATTAACTACCAAGAGAATGTATTTTGTTAATTATGTCGTGTTTTTATGTACAGGTTACGCATACTTTACATCCAGATGCCTCATAAAATCGTACTTTCGCAAGGGCATACAATACATAGATCTGAACCATTTTTTTGAATATAGATAAAGAATATTTTCCTTAACTTGAAAAGTGCTGCTGCTTTCTTTAAATCGAGGGCGTTATTTTATAAGTACACAAAATATTTGGTAAAAGTCAACATATTCGACATTGGCCTATTTACTTTAAAATTTAACTATTAGACAAAGCAGCAGCACTTTTCAGATACTACAAAGTATGCAGAAACAATCAATAGCTTGAATTTTTAATTTCAACTAGGGTATGCCCTTGCGATATTGAAATTTGTTAATGACCTACATTCAGTACACGAACTATGCATTCATCACGTGACTGTCCATTGATGGGACTAAACTTCATACAGTACAGAGTGGGTTATACTATGCTATTTCCATTAGTATTAAAGTTCTGTGATAATAAAATAGCTGAATTAAAATAAATTCAATTTTTAAAAAAATCCCCCTTTTTTGCACGTCTATTTTCCGTTGATTTCTCATAGTAGGCCTTAACATTTTTACTGTAATAAGCAATCTGTATAAAAGGGACTTAATATAGAAATATGGTATAAGTTTTAAACATATATCGAAATATAAAGACGATTTGGTCACGAGATCAAATTTCATAAAGCCTGAAGGACTTTATGATGAATTTGATATCGTATTTTTATAGCTTGATAAATGTTTTAAAATGATACCCCAATTATTTATATTTACATTTGTGACTTATTCATATTTTATATTTGCCCAATTATGACTTTTTTACGCTTGCAATGGTTTATTAAAAAACGGCATTTGTGTAATCCACCGATTGTATGTCGATTTTTTATGACGTCACTGAGAAATTACGTCGACCGTTTATGACGTTCTAGGACCATGTATTTATACAGTTATAGATATGCATTGCTTTCAGTAGTGTTATATAAAGGGAGACATTTGCAAATGTAAACATATCAATGTATCTTCTTGCTTTTATTGTTTGTTATAATTATGTTAATGTGTTATTCACAAAATGTTTTCCTCATGGCGAGTGATATATTTTTTGATGGCCTCAAGAAATTTTGAAACGGCAACCAACGAATAATTAGGTGTAATTTAGCGACCTGATGGGAAGTCTGACTTGGAGAACTGAACTTAAAAAGAATAGGGCCAATTGTTCGATATAATTTGACCAACCTATCTAAATTGCCTATACTCAAATGGTTTATTTTGAAAATGCATATAGTTCCTTCTGTGCATTCAACCACACAGTAACAACGTTTTATATGTTTTATAGGGTATTGAATGTGATAGATTTCAAATAGATTTCTTATAAAAAGGAATAATTTCAGTTTTACAGAACAATACTGGCTATTTCATATCAGGTTTTCATCAAAGTTAAAAGTATTATTAAATATTACTACATGCATCAATTTAATAATATAACAGCAAAACTGCAATTTTCTCTGATGATATTCTAATCAATTCTTTTTATGCCCCGCCATGGATATGGACGGGGCATATAGTGTTTGTCATGTCCGTCTTTCGTCCTTCCGCCCTTCTGTCCTTCAGTCTGTCTTTCCGTCACACTTTGCTTTTAGCTCTGTTCAAAGCTAAGTTTCAAAGAATCTATCCAAGATATTTTCATAAAACTTTATATGCTGATAGATATTGATGAGAGCTATGCAACTGCATCAATATCTTTTTACCTTGACCTTTCATTTGAGCTTGACCACAATTTTCTTAAATAAGTGCTTCGCTCAGTTTTAAACATACCATTCGAGATGGTTTTATCAAATTTCACATGTTGATACATACTGATGAGAGCTTTTAAACTTCATCAACATTTTTGACCTTGACTTTCCTTTGACCTTGACTTCACATATCTTTAATTAGTGTTTTGCTCAGTTTTAAAGATACCATTCAAGATATTTTCATCAAACTTCATATGTTGATAAATATTGATGAGAGCAATTCAACTGCATCAACATTTTTTACCTTGACCTTCCTTTGACCTTTGACCTCACTTTTCCTAAATCAGTGTCAAACTTCATATGCTGATACATACTGATGTAAGCAATTCAACTGCATCAACATTTTTGACTTTGATCTTTTATTTGATCTTGACCTTTCATTTGACCTCACTTATCTTTGATAAGTGTTTAGCTCAGTTTAAAGATACCATTCACGATATTTTTTATAAAACTTCATATGCTGTTACATACTGATGAGGGCAATTCAACTACATCAACATTTTTGACCTTGACCTTTCCTCTGATCTTTGACCTCACTTTTCCTAAATACGTGTCAAATTCATATGCTGATACATATTGATGTAAGCAATTCAACTGCATCAACATTTTTTACCTTGACCTTTTTTTACCTTGACCTCACTTTTATCAAATTGTGTTTAAGTCAGATTTAATTAAAGAAATCATTGTATGTATTTTTATCAAACTTCATATGTTGATACATATTGATGAGAGATATGCAACTGCATCAACATTTTTTACCTTTCCTTTGACCTTTGACCTCACTTTTTTTCAATCAGTGTCAAACTTAATGTGCTGATACATACTGATGTAAGCAATTCAACTGTATTAACATTTTTACCTTGACCTTCCATTTGACCTTGACCTCACTTTTTATCAAATTGTTTTAAAGTCAGTTTTAAAGAAACTGTATTAACATTTATGATACACTTTTTATCAAATTGCTTAAACATACTGAAACCATTTATGATACATTCATATGCTGAAACATACTGATGAGAGCTTTTCAACTGCATCAACATTTTTTGACCTTGATATTTCCTTTGACCTTGACCTCATTTTAATGAAATTAGTGTTAAACTTCATATGCTGATACATACTTATGTAAGCAAATCAACTGCATAACTATTCAAGATATTCTGATCAAATTTCTTACACTAATACAAATTTTCATGTTGCACTACTATTATACCCTCGGCGGGGCATTCATGTCCAATGGACATATTTCTAGTTATTATTTAATAGAAAGTTTTTAAATACACATGATACATCTAATTAAAAAGCATTGAAATACTGCACAGCTGCTTTTAAGTTACATTGTACTGTGTCATCAATCTTATTTTAATTAGATTGACTTTATCATATACGTTGTATTTGATCAGCATGATCAAAACACAGTCCTGAAATCAACACATGAATTTGATTTTCTTGATTCGTCTGTTTCTACATTGAGCAACAAACAGACTGTCATTCGTATCAGTACAAATTCCCTCAGGGTTACTAAGTACACAGTCTATGTAACTGAGGAACTGTCCATCCTGGTCTATGATGTGGACACACTCATTGTTATAATCAGCTGTAAGGATGTGACTCTGACTGTCTGTAGTGATTCCTTGTGGACGGAGTGGTTTGTTTCTTGGAGCAGGATTAAGTCCAGTGTACCTGAATCTAAGTTTCCCGGCCTGATTGACCACCACTACTGCTCTAGCTCCACTGTCAGATACACAGATATCCAGGTTCCTGTTCTCTGTTATGTAGTATCTGATATAACCACCGGATGAATAGAGAGGTTTACCTTTATCATTAAACTGAATGGTTTGTTTCTCTGTGGAGCCAGAGTAACGGACAACTCTTGTTTGTTTGAAATCATCACTGATCATGGTAACCAGGAGGTCACCAGAGGAGGTACTACAGACACCGCAAGGATTCCAGTTCTGTAGTCTGATCATCTCCTCTATCCTGTCGTTCATTAAAATGTTCACAGTTCTATCATAACTGTCAGTATAAACCAGATCTCCACTTCTTGTCACTGCTATGTTAGATGGCATGTTCCCTGACTTGGCAGTGATTGACTTGAGTAGTGATCCCTGATTGATGCTGAAGAGTTTCATGGTTTTATCATCTCCTCTTGTCCAGATTTTTTCATCACTCAGACAGGATACACTGAAAAGTACTCTATACCCAGTGTCTATGGTGGTGACAGTCTCTGCTTCATCAAGCAGCTGTTTGAATTGAGGGGAGGATCCAGTTTCTGGTGATTTCTGTGTTGTTTTCATGCTGTAACCATATTTATCTGAACTGAAAGAACTTAAAAATATCGTTCCAAACAGTTGCTTGATTTTTTCTACTTGAAATTCTTCTGGAATGAATTTTGGTAAAGTTGGTGCTGATTTTTGTGGAAGTTGTCTGTATATATTTACATTGGAAGTGACTCTAAACAGTTTTGACAAGTCATTGGTGTTTATAGCTATTTCAACTGAATCAATTTCATCCTTGATGTCAGACATTGTCTTGTTTATTTCATCCAGGTGTTTCTGTAGCGTTTTTAACTGTTTGTTTTTCATTTCATTAACTTCAGCTTTAAGTTTCTGGACAAGTTTGTCAATTTCTCTGTGCCAGTCCTCTCCATGTTTTGTTATGGCTGTTGATAGATCTCCATATTGCTTTTGTAACTGATTCATTCTGTTTTGTACATCAGAGGCAATGTCCTGGTAGGTGGGATAGATTTTCTTCTTTAATTCAGTTTGATCCTTGATAATTGTGTTCTTTTTTTCATCCACAATATCTAAGATCTCTGATAACTTATGACCAAGGTGTTGATCAGATGCTAGACATTTCGTACAAACAGGAATGCCACATTGTTTACAGTTCATTTTACATCGTTCTTTGAAATGAGTGGTACATCTAGGATAAAGGGTGTTAGATTTCTTGGCGAGAAATTTGACAACTTTGTGATCGTTGGATTCATCCGATAACATGTGTTTTCCTACACAAGCTGTGCACAGGTTGACAAGACATGTATCACAGTGCATCTGTACGACAGCAGTCTCACACAGGTCACATCGCATCACGTCCTGGGCACTGGTACGGGGGTCCATGGTTAAACTTTTAACTCTGAAATATATTGTTTATAAGGTTAAGGTAAACTGTCCATCTCCTCAACATCTCACCAATTATTTATTTTTTAAATCCAAACATTGATTTTCATCTACAACAATAGCAATAAATTGATTAGAATAAATGGAAAAAAACTTTAAAGTATGGAGCATTGATTATCTTTTTCTGGAAAGAATAATATATCAAATTATGATGTTAAGAAAATTTGATATGGTAAATGGAAAAATCATTTTTTTTTTATCTCACAATAAAATTAGAAATATGAGGCATATATAGAAATAAAATTTTACTCTCAAGTATACCTTTCTTATTCCCATTAGAAAGCATACTAAAGCGTTTCTCTTTTAAATCGGAATATAAAATTTTCAGTGCTTTTAAAATAATTCGTATCTATCAACAAGACCTATCTCTCCGTTATCGCCCTTGTAAATATTTTTTTAGTGAAATAAAATATTATTTAATTGTATATAAACAATTCTGCGTCTGAAATTTCTGTAATAATATACCTTTTACTTTACTAACGTTGTTATAGCCTTATTGTGACGTCACGTTAATGCATGTTCCTCAGTGTGTATTTCTATGGGTGTGTATAGACGAAAATGGTATTTAAATCAATTTCAAGGTTAACGTACTAGAAAAGAACAGCAAATGTAATATATTGACATATGTCTTCAGACAGATATCTCTTTTATCTTATGGGATATTACACATTTAAAATAAAGTTAAGTTGGAAAAACATATTTTAAAGTGCAATATCCCGCTTTTATTATGCCTGTTTTAAAGCTTGCTATAGATCTAGAAATCTAGTCGCACAACCTACCTACTGTATTTGTTCCAGAACTGAGCGCAACTTTTTGTGAGCAATAAATATAGTTTTTTCAATGGGTGGCACTGTAGCTCTCCGGTTTGTCAATGTATTTTTTTCTGAGAGCTACAATTCTGTCGCTACTTACTGTAAGAAGGCGGGGCTTAATGTCAGTCAACCATGCGATTTGAGAATCATTCTTTAGTCATTGACTCAAGAAATCCTAGTAACATTTGTTTTATAGAAAAATGTTTTATAGCTACAAAATTAGCGGCTATCCTTGTATGTAAAATTTTCATTTAAAATATCAAAATGTTTAATCAATATATAGACAATATATAGACATATATTACCTGACGTCTAAGATCGTAATGGATGTTGTTATGTGTTTTGGTCACATGACCTAGTTACCCGTGTAATCTACCTGTCGAGTATTTATACCTCTTGGTCTATATATAATGGAGATTTAAATTTCAACAGTCTGTTTCTCTTTATTAACAATACCAAGCTTTACTCCTTTTTAATCTTTGATACAGTAAAATAATGAAATTTTCTAAGTATGATATAGAAATTAAAGACATTAAAAAGGAAGTTTGTTTTTATCATTCCATTTTACATTTATTTTATTTAAAGTTAACGAGTTAAATGATTTAAAAACTGTCGGAAGAAAAAATTTAAAGCATTAGTAAGGGTACATAAAGACAAGATATGAGGTAAAGCAATCATTTTTATTTATATAAAAATATAGAGACACTTAAAGGTAAACCTATTGGGTATTTCCAACAAAATTTAAAATTAGTAGTTTGATTAAAACATTGAGTGTACACAATTTCTGACAAGGAAGTACAGATAAAGTGATCAAAATGAGTCGACTATTGCTCGACGAATGACCTGTTATTCGACTACTGGAGTTTTATGAAGAGACTTACTTTTACAGTTGACGACTGACTCTTACAATTTATACAGAGACCAACTCCATTACTTAAAATGTAAAAGTCAGCTGTCAAATGTAAAAGTAAGTCACTTCATAAAACTCCATTAGGCTATCCAAGTAAAATTGATATCCCTACTCTTTACTACAATATGTGAACTTGATGATAGTTTTACCTCTTATGATATTAATATCTATATGAGAAGAATGGAGTATATGGTATTTGTAGACGCTTGACATACTGCAATTTTGTTTTTCATATTCTCAAAGCAGCGCCTTGCGAACAAAATATACTATAATAAACTACAATTTACTATAGCTAACTATAGTACCAAAGTTAAAACTTTGAAACTTTGAAACTTTGATTCACTATGGCGAAGACTTTGGAACTTTGATTCACTATGGTGAAGACTTTGGAACTTTGATTCACTATGGTGAAGACTTTGGAACTTTGATTCAATATGGTGAAGACTTTGGAAGTTTGATTTACTATGGTTAAAACTTTGGAACTTTAATTGAGTACTATAAAACCTGTGGAATTAAGTTTTTGCCTACCATTCTACACATTTTATGACATTTCAAGGTTATGGTTCATTAAAGTTTCAGAGAACTTTTTAAAAACACGACCCGTCCTCTAAAAGAATAATTTAATGTACAAAAAATGAATTTATTGCAAAAATTATCACTTGCACCGAAAATAAGCAATATTCATTTAAATTTATTTAATTTTATTGTTAAGCAGATGGTATAACACAGATCCTCCAACTGGCGTCGGAATTTCATAAATATTATAGATTCTGTTGAAAATTACGCCAGACGATGGACCAGATATAAAAAAGAAGACGTTGACACCTTAATTGTCAGAATGGATTAAATATATCAGATCCATGTTAAAGTCGCGTATTAAAATATCGAGGGGCAGTATGAAAACCATCTATCCTGTGTTCAATAATCCAGAAGTGAAAAAATAGATATATTATATGATCAGTGCGTACTGGTCCCCGCCGACAAAGCAGGTAACAACATTGACATTCTTGAATGAAGTGAAGTTTTTCCTTCACTACTGTCAATATCTTAGTGAGGAGTAGCGAAAGAGGCTTGGTTGAACATTTACTGGAACCCGCAATGTATCTTTGTTTGTAAGGATTTTTAGATAGTGTCGGAATCCAATATACATATACATTGAGTAGTTCAAATTCATTTTGGCTCTAAAGAATATTAAAAATATTTAAAACTGACATATGATTTTGAAGAATTTCTTCCTTAGAAAGGAAAGTATAAGTAGGATTATTACTTGTAGAATTCAATCCAAGTTAATTTTCTAAAATACAATTTATATAAAGAGCTTTACACACGATTGATTGATTGTGTATTGTTCATATTCATATATTCATCACATGCATATTTAAGAGTGGTATTCACATGAGATACATCCACATCTCGTCTTGGTAATACTTCGGAAAAATATACTTTGGTTCCCGTAGAACGATGTTTGATATTGGATGATTTCGCGGCATCATGTTCAATGGCGTCCATGTCTCGATGAGATGAGACATCATTTCCCTTGGCTTGGATGATGATATGAGAGTATTATCTTGCAGTTTGTACGTAGATGTACCAGAATCCGCTGTTGTTTTGTTTTCTTTTCTAGTAAAGTACGTTCAGACTGGATGTGTCTGGATATGGAGTTTGTTGGTACATGTACATAATTCAAACCACGTACGTTTGTTTCCTTGTTTTTCTTAATTCTCAATTTCTTAACTTTGATTGATGTCTGAGTGTTTTTGTCAATCAGTATTTGTTTGCTTTGATAGTCATCTATTTTTATTTAACTGGAGATGATGCCATTTTTGGTGATGATTCGTTGTTCTTGCTCTTGATATCATGAATTTCTTTGTCAAGCCAGCTTTGCCAAGGAACCTTGAGCATGTGGCCGTAACAGAATCACAATCTATACATTTTTATCTACGTTTTAATTTTTTTAGTTCCTCTTTCAAATAGTTCAAAATGATCATATATTTCTCCTAAATGACGCAGTTATACAGCATTTGTAAAGTGTCACATTTTGAAAGTGTGGTATACTTATATCAGTAGTGGTGATATTTTGATCTCTATCAAATAATTGTGTTAGTCCAGAAAAGGATTTAAATAAGCTTGAAATAATACATTGATCCATATATTCATAAGACTTAGCCATATATGCTGGCTAGGTTAAACATGACACAATCACACGTAGTAATTTAACATAGATAACAGTTGAGATCAGAGCTACCCCAAAATACTTGTGAAATACCTGTTCATAATGACCTCAAAAATTCTGAAATGGCAAATTTTGTTGTGTTATTTAGCGATCTTGTAGGAAGTGTGACGGAGAAGTAAACATTAGTTTACAGTAAGGCCAACTGTTTGATGAACTTCAACCAACCTATCTGAATTGCCCATACAATGTTCACAGTATGCCCAGTGTTTTTTTTTGTTTTTGTTTTTTTTGAGTTGCCTCGCGTAGCGAGCTACTCCCTGTCGACATAGCCGTTTCAGAGCTGTAAAATTTATCACGCATTCATCAAGGTGATCCATACGCCAAATATAATAGTTCTAGCAAAAATTGCTTTGGTTTGAGTGATTGTATAAACTTAAGAGGTAAAAACTGTATAAAATTTCATACTGTAACATTATTTATGCCTTCATGCTTTTAAAGAAATTTTTGATTAAATATGTGTACGATGTACAATTACTGCGTATGAATATATGTTCAAGCGTGTTAGGCGGATCTAATCTTCCCATCTGAAGTTTATTTACAATGACCTAGAATACTCCCTAACACAAATACCTGCTGCTCTCATTAGCTGCAGCTAGTTGTTGTTGTTGAAAATCTATTTTTAGAATCCAGATTTGCTGTGGGAATCTTTAACCTAATTATTCCATAACAATGACCACTTTAGCTAATGTGCTTAAATTCATTATAGAATCCAGTCAAAATAATACAGAAGCCCATTAGTGCCAACCTTTATATGTAAAGGAAAAGCAATATACACTTTATAATAAATTTATGAACCGAACATGGATCAGACATATAATATTCAATCTCTTAAGATGCAAAATAAACTGAATATACAAGGTTAGCTTTTTTAAAAAAGCTGAGTGTCAGCCAATGGAATACAGAAAGTTTCTCTCTTGTTTTGAAATGGTTTATGATTTGATCTATCCATCATGTTGTGTTCCTTAAATGTAATAATTAAATGCCATTGTAAGAAAAGTTAAATTCTTGTAATCGTTTTCTTTTTTGTAACAGAATGCTGTACATAATA